TGGATTTGTCATTTCTTCACACTCCCCCCCCCTCAATTACTGTTAATAATTATAAAGGCAGAAGTTTTCCACAGGCACGGCAAGGGGGAATGAGGAAGCAAAGTTTAAACTGGATGACCTTGCATTCTGAGGGACATTTTGTCCACTGGGGAGCAAAAAGATCGAGAGGTTATCATTTTTTTGCTCAGTGCAAAGGAAAAGAAAACAAACCAGGAATATACTGAGAAGACAAGCCAGGAGGCAGTAGAACAAAAATACAGGGGAAAAGGAGACGACACGGACACAGACGATGATGTTTTCTGCGATGGATTAACCCCAGCCATTGTTCTCCTCCATTTTTCCAGACCAGGATAAGCTGGCCGACACCACGCAGACAGAGACGGGCAGTGCCTTCCCTGCCGAGTTATTGCGGATCCCCCTCCCCCCAAAAAAAAGGTGTGTGACACCCTACCCCCCCTTTTCCCCCAGCACAGAGCTGGCTGCCCCGGCGGGGGAAGAAGGGCAGCCGGGGGTTGGGATCAGAGCATCGACAGCGCCTTCCCGCAGCATCACCGAACCCAGCCCGGCCGGGGAGAGCAAAGGCGGGAGCCATCGCGAACTCACGGGGACTCTGTCCGGGTACTTCTTGCGGATCTTCTCCCCCTCCTTTTTCCTGTACTCGAACGGGTGGTCCTCCTTGTACTGGAACTTCATGGTGCCGGGCTGCGCCTCCGCTCCGAGCGCTGCGGCGGCTCCGTCCCTGCCCCGACCCTGCCCCGCCCTCCCTCTGACGTCACGGGGAGGGGCAGTGCCACCGCGACGTCACGGGGAGGGGCGGTGCCGCCGTGACGTCATGGGGAGGGGCAGTGTCGTCGTGACGTCACGGGGAGGATCCCCCCCCGCTGCGGCCGGCCTGTGCCGCTCGGAGCTGTGACGTCACGAGGGAGGTCCCGCTTTGCCGCCTTGACGTCACGGAGATGTTCCCTCTGCTGCTGCGACGTCACAGAGAGGCCCCCCCCTTTGCCACTGTGATGTCAGGAGGAGGTCTCCCTTGCCCTCTGTGACATCACGGGGAGGCGCCCTGCTGCTCGGCTGAGCGCTGTGACGTCACCAGGGAGGTCCCCCTCTGCCAGTGTGACGTCACAAGGAGGGTCCCCGCTGTGCCGCGCAGTGCTGTGATGTCACAGGGATGGTGCCCCTTTTGCCTCCGTGATGTCACGAGGAGGTCCCCTTTGCCACTGTGACGTCATGGGGAGGTGCCCCACTGCATCTGTGACGTCACAGGGAGGTCCTCTTTTGACACTATGACGTCATGGAGGGTTCCTCCTTTACTTCTGTGATGTCACAGGGAGGTGTCCCCACTGCCCGTGTCTGTCTGTCCCAGGACAGATGGACATTTCCCCACAGTTGCCGGGTGGTGTCAGAGGATCCATCAGAAGGTGCTGGTTTTGTGCAGTCCAGTAGGGAACAGCCTAAGACAGAAGGAGTCCCGGGGTTCTGACCCGTGGAAAATTCTGGTTTTGTGGCATTGCACCTTTCCGTGATTCCTGTGTTTGGCCTCCTTGCTTCCTAACTGCTGGCAGCACAGCCAAGTGTGTTCGAGGTCTGTGGTGATGGTGTAGGTTTGTCCTCAAGGGCAAAAGAGGGAACTTTTCCAGCCTGTTTCACCCAGGCCACCAACATGTCCTGGCAATTTTAACAGACTGACCCCACGCTCCCTTTGTCCCGTAAATGGCTGTTTCCATCCCCAGGGCTGCACACGAGGCAGCTGAGCCTTGCTCGGTTTGAATTGCTGGTGACGAACCAGGGAGAAGCTTGGGGGTTCTTCCCTGTCCCGATGGAAGGACAAGGCCTGTGAGTGGATTGCTGGGTGACTTCTCCCAGTGAATCCCACGTGAGGTGGGATTCGCAAACCTCGCTGTTGTCTTCCTGCCCCTGATGACGCAGCCCTGGACGTGCAGCCACGGGACTCGCCCTTCCCTCTTCCCCACTTCCTCTTCACCAGGCACCGAGTTCCCAGCTCTCTCCTCCGGCTTCAATAATAACAACGGCGTCACTGGCAAAACAGCAGGCAGGAAGGTGACACACGCAGGAGCAGTGGCAAACAGCTGAACATCTGACTCGGAGTTATTCAAGTGTCATCCCCCGGGCATGTGACAAACCCCATGTTATGGATCCGTGTGCCAGAGGGAGGAACTGGAAACGGGGTTGGCACGGCCCACAGGCTACCAAAACAATATAGTTTTCCTGAACCCAGAGCGTCAGAAGAGCTCTGAGCACGTCCTGTGCTGCTGTGCCTGCAGCTCACACAGAGGGACGTTCTGAAAGGGATTTCCCAAGCGCTGCCAGTGCCGTAGCCATGGAAGCAGGAGATAAAAATATTTGCACAGAACCTTGGGGGGCAGGGTTTGCAGTCTGGGCTGTACCACACAGCATTCCTTCTCAACAACACTGCTCAGCTACTTGTAAGTCTGGACTCCCTTGGATGTTTCTTCCATTAGTACCTCCTATGGGATACCTTCCTCTGTGCCTCCACAGGATGACTTTATCTTTTTTTAAGGCCTTAAAAGTTGTGGAGTCAGCATTTCAAAGCCTCTCTTGTCAAGAAACATCTACTTTGTACTCCGAATGGGGATTCAACTGCACGTGGTGCACCTGGAAGCACTTGTGAATCTGTTCTGCCTGATGTCCATCCTTGCCTGGTGCCTCTCCCAGTACCCCTCACGACTGGTCTGGTGACCTCAGAGCCAGTCTGGGCACGTTGGTCTTGGATGAGGGCACAGGATTAGTCACTGCCACCAAACAATGTCTAATTGTGTGCATGTTTTCCTTTCCTCCTGAAAAGGACTCTGTGTTGTCTGTGCTGCCTCACTGCTCCATTTTTCTACACTTTCTTATTTTTCACCATAAAAAGCCGCTCATTCCTCCCAAACTTGTTGCATGGCCCAGCCTCAGCTCAAAGTGGCTTAAATGCATAAAAATGGTGTCACGAGGAGATTAAGGAACATACCTTGTGATGAAAAGCAGCAAATGACAGCAAAATCCTGCTTTTTCACAAAATACATGTGATCTTTATTGACTCTGTCCTCATTTTGGGATTATTTCAGAGGAGAGAACTTCGAATTGTAACAGATCTGCCAGCAAGAGCCAAGTGCCTCCAGTCACCTGGGCCTGCTCTTTGCTTTCTTACACAACCTTTCATGTTGTTTAAATAGAGCAGTCTGCTTCTGCTTTTTGTTCATTTGTTCTAATCTGGTGTTTCATTGGGTCTTATGGGCTCACCTGAGGTCAGTTTAGTGGGAACCAGTCCCTGAGCAAGTGAAGTTATATCTGTCATTATTGCCACCTGAAATACTTCAGATGTCTTGCCAGTAAAAAAACCCTTGAGGGTACCAGCATAGCACCTAAAAACTAGGACTGAGACAAGCAAAGAAGGATGTGAGCAGATGGGAAGGAATTGGAGAGTTAGACATGGAAATCAGCAGGTCTGGGTACAATTGACCTGTGACTTTTCCCCTGAAAACTGAGAAAGGAGGGAGCTCAGTTTGTTAGAACACGATGCAGAACACCACCAAAATCCCCAAAGGGACCATTCAGTTAAGAGTGGGACTCAATGCTCCATGTGGGTCCCTTCCAACTCAGAACATTCTGTGATTTAAAGACAACTAGAAAAATTCACAGAAGAGAAAAAAAAAATCTCATAGAAATTAAAATATTTGAGATAGTAGAGGAGAGGAAAACTAATAATTTTAAACCTTCCCTTATCCTTGCACACATTAGGGGGGGAAAAAAAAAAGCCGTGTAATTATTATGGTAAACCGTATAAAATTGAGCATTCCCCGTGTTGCCAGGCAGGATTGCTGCCCTGTGGAGCAGGGCTGCCATCATGTGTTAAACGCCTGCACAGCTCGGGCTTCACAGGCAGGAGGTGGAGTAGGAACAGTCCGTTCCCCCTGGAAAACGACTGCCAAGAACTTTCCAGGAAGTTTCGGGGCTTGGTGGTACTTGACGCGTGTTCAGCAGATCTCAGATGTCTCTGCTCGCTTCGGGATTTCACTGGGGAGTAAACAAGAGGCTTCCAGGAAATGTTCTGCAGCCTGGGGGACACGTCGTGGCCGAACAGGACTTCAGAGAGCAGCTGATAAAGTGGGTCACTCGACGAGATGTTCCACAAACAGTTGCTGTTATTGTTATTATTATTATTATTATTTCAAGGCCAGGTTGGACGGGGCTCTGAGCAACCTGGTCTGGTGGGAGGCATCCCTGCCCATGGCAGGGGGTTGGAACTCAGTCTTTAAGGTCCCCTCTAACTGAAACCATTCTGTAATTCTATGATTCAAGAATGCTGGACAGCAGAAGGGACATAAACTTATATGTCACTTCTCTGCTTTTTCCATTCCACTTTATCCCTCACTAATGATACAGCTGGGCAACGACCAACACAATTCAGGAAAAAGTTTATAAGCTCAGAAATCAAGACCCTTACACACAAAATGGGCAAGATCTGGGACGTTATCGAAGATGTTTGGGTTGTTCAGTTCAGCTTTATTCTATCCCCGAAGTAATCTTACCAACCTTCTCTAAAATTTTCTGTGGCTGATCTCAACAGCAGTTAGGTTCCTAAAATTATGTGGGACCTTGTCCAACATTGTCCTTGTTCTCCTTATCTACAAAATAACCATATTTTCTGTATTTCACAGGAAAGAAGACCAGCATATCAGGGACAGTGAGAATTTGGGTACTTCAGTGAGAAGGGCCATGCAGGTCTTTCAGAAAGATGTCATATCTGTGACCTGGGCATTCATATCAACATTGCCATCTACACCAATTAACTGCTTATCATTTGATATTTGATGTCCTTCTGCTTTAATGTTTTCAGGTGCTGAACCTAGGGTAGAGACAACACTGATATAATTCAACACTCACCTTCTTCTGACTGCCTAACCCAGGAAAACATTTTACAGATGGTCCATATCCATGTTCATCCAGTTTGGTCAATATTTCTGGGTGGTTCAGCACATTTGTATCGATCAGGAGAGACTCTCAAATTATTCTGTCTGGGAAATGGCTTAAATGTTTTAAGTGGTCTTACTTAAATTGATCTGGTTTTGACAGCAACAGTAGGAATTAATAAATGATACAATATGAATGCAATGAAAAGATGATTGAGCTTTATTTCAGGGGCAGTGTTCCTGCTCCTCCCCTTGTTTGATCTGTTGGCACCTAATATAATATTTTTTAATTCAAATATAAGAGCTTGAGACTACTACTTCAGAATTGCTATATATCCTATTCAGAACCAGACTGTCTTCATTCTGTGTATCCTGGAGGACATTTAGGGCACATTCTGTATATATCCTCTCCGTTGTTTACATGCAGATTGTTTGTTTTAAAAATGACTAGAGATGTTTGGCCGTTTCCAGAAGTTTGGTGTTATTACTGGGCCTTAATAGACCTTCTCACGGGTCTTTTTTTTTGTTTGGTTTGGGTTTTGTTTGGTTGGTTTAGTTTTTGTCTGTTTTGAAATCCTCTCTGCCACCCTGAGGAAACCCAGGGTTGAGGCAGGAGGAATGAGACCGCATCTGCCATCACCCTGCAAGATGGCTCAGCACCTTGATCCTGCTGCCAGCTTGTTTGTGCCAGCTCTGCTACTGGTGTTGTGTGCCTGTAATAAATGGACTTGGAGAATGCCAATGGCCAACCATCTCAAGGAGGTGTCAGAAAGAGGCGTCAAACTACGCTAGATCTGAAAATATTTGGAATTTTAGCTAATTTCCGCCCCCTTTCTCATTAAACTAAGGAAGTCAGTCGGAGATTCCCAACCCTGCCCACATGAATTAGTCCCTGCATTTAACTGTTCTGTATTATTTGCCATTAATTAAAACCAGGCACTAATGTCCTGGGAGGGCTGGCTGGGCATCCTTGGCCTCAGCAGGTGCCTGCAGCTTTTCCTCCGGCACGGGATCCAGGTCTGGCACTTTCTGGCCCGCCCTGGCCACCGTGAACCTGCTCATGTGCAGGGCTTCTTCGTACACCGGCGGGGTGTCCGACGCCGAGAGGGGCGGCGCTCCCTGGGCAGCGTTGTGGGAGTGTGCCACTGCTAATATCCTCCTGGCAGCAGGCCCAAACACGGAGTGGAGAGCTGCAAGGGAGGAGACCAGAGCAGTTTGCCTCGTCCTGAAAGCATCATGTGATTAGGGAGCGTGTCTGCAGGGCACAGGCTTTTCTCTCCCTACAGCTGGAGCGTTTTCCTTCTCCTGCCCCTTCAGCCTTCCCTAAAAGGAGTGTGTGTGAAACGCCATCGATAACATCCCACAATTACTCTCTCCTGAAATGCCATTGAGACCTGTAGCTGCCCTAATTCCACCCAAACGTGTCTGATTCACCGTCTGGCTGCATTTGCTACGAGGAGCGAGCACCTGAATTTGTAGGATGTGCAGGTGCTGATTTCCCCCCATCCTGCTATGAACTTCCCTCTGTCAGCCTCAGGGTGGCACAATCTGGGCTTTTCAGAATGCAGCCCCTCCCGTGGTGGTGTGTTGAAGCCCCCAGCACCCATCAAAGCCAACTCACAGGTGATGGTGCTCTGGAGGGTGCTGTCGTGGTCGAAAGCAATGACGGTGACCTCGTAGGGCTGAGGCCCCGACTCGTCCCCTGCCTGATGGCACTGAAAACAGCACCTCACGCAGACAGAAACCAGGCCACACAGGAGCAGGAGCCCACCAATCACCACCACCAACCTGGAAAGGAAGGGGACACAGAATCAGGACAGGAAGGTTTTGTTTGCAGGACACCTCATAACGTCTCTCGCTGCCTAAAGCGTGCCTGGACCTCAAAGCTAAACATCTGCAGCCTTCTCCGACAGAGTTTGGACATTCCCCAGGGATACAGATCCCTCATCCCTCCCAGGCACCTGTTCAAGTGCTGCACCATCCTCAGGGGAAGCATTTTTCCTTCTGTCTAATCCAAATTTTCCTGTATGCAGCTTGGCCAGCCACCTCAGGTGCTTCTGCTGAGCACCTCTGAGAAGTCTCCATGTCTCGTCTCAAGATCCCCCTTAGGTAGTGGAAAACTAAAATAGGTTGCACTTTTAGCCTCCTCCAGGCTGAAGAAACCTGGTCCTTATTACTGGCTCTCCAGTGGACTTGTTTCAGTTTGCCAGCATCTCTTCTGTGCTAGGGGACCAAAACTGGACTGGTCATGAGTGACAAGCAGAGAGGAAAAATTGGATCTCACAGTCTTCTGGCTGTGCTCTCTCTCTCTCTTTAAGAAATACAAATATAATAAGAATATATTATTATTAATTATTAATGATAAATATATATTATATATTATATGTATTAATGCAGCTTTCTAGATGTTCAACAACTACCATCCTTTTAAATCTCATCCTGGTGAGAATTAGTAAGTAAATAGACTTACCATGAATGCTTTATTAATGTTGTTCATACACTAGATTAATATGTGGAATAAAAAAGGAGGCTGGTAAGTCAACGTTTGTTAAAGATGATGAGGTAGCTAAGGAGTTGCCTGCCTACTGTAGAGCATTGGAGCACCCCAAGGAGAAGTGGGGGGTGGCATCACACTTGCACATTTAATCCCACTCTTTGCTGCTGGAACTGTCTAGACATGCAGATATTTAAAGTATGTGATCTTACCAGATGTACCACAAACGGTCCCACTCTGTGCCTGCACAGCTGAAGAGAAGAAGGTACAAAAAACAGTTACCCACAGAACACCAAATAAATGGGAAGATCCCTGTGGCACCTTCTCCCATCTCCCCTCCTGCTCCTCCCTTAAAGTCCAGCTCCCAAGTGGCACAGTGATGAGAAACTCACTGCGTTTTGGGGTGGGCACAGTTGTCCAACCTCATCAGTCTCCCTGTCAGGTGAGTTTCCCTTCTGTTTGGCTTTGTCTCTTGATATTTATGCCTGCCCAATTCCACTTGCAGACCTTAGAGACCTGCATTCACCTTTGTTTTGTCTTTTTTTTTTTGTCAGTATATAATTATTCTGTCATTCTTACAGAGGACATCACTGATGGTGATATTCACCAAAGCAGTATATTTCAAACCACTGAAATATTGAAATTACACCAAAGAGCTCTTAACTATTGCAGTTTTGAAAATAGGCAGCAGCAAGGTTACCACATGATCAGTATGTTGATCAATAAAAATAGCAATTAATACACTCCACATTCAAAACCATGGTAATTTAACATGAGTTTTTAATACTCACAATAAATAAGCTTTTCTGGAGAATGTCAACCCTGAAGTCATAACACTCATGCCCACTTACTGCCTTTGTCCTTCATTCTTTTCTCCAAAAAAAGAGAGCAATTTTGACAAATACTTACAATTCAGTGTTGAGGCAGCCTTCCTCACCTCTCACTTGGGAGAACTAAAAAGGGCAAAACAAAAAAAAAGCTCAGTGAATTAAATCTTTGGCCTTTGCACCTTTTATCTCTGATACCTGGACCATTCCCAGCCTGAATCTCCTACGGGAAGGACTTCCTGTTATGTCTCTTCCATTGTTCCCATCCTGTATTCTGCTGGAGGTTTGAAGTTACTGTGATATCAACTGCATTGTTTCATATCTTAACTTCCTGTAGTCAGTAAAATCCTGTTTAGTGCTGTTCCCAGCATAAACCCTTTCTTACCTTCATCCTCACCACGACTTTTCCTTTCTCCACCACAAGCTGCTGATCCTTCTCCATGCTCCAGTGTTAAGAACCTTTAAATACCCTGCTTCATATAATTCACTGACATGAATTCTGCTCTGTCCCTTCCAGCATTCTTACCTTTCTCCTTCTTTCAGGTGCCCTGACCTCTGTGTTACCCTCCCTGGAATAGCACCAAGTATTATCTTCCATGCCTGTACCTTTTATAAATCCAGTCCTTTCAAATCTCAGGGAAATTTTTTGTGCTAATGCTCCTCCATCTTTCCAAGGTCACTCCAGAGCGGAGACCCCACACAGAGGAACGTGAGCTGTGACTTACCCATAAGGAACACCCTAAAAAAAAGCAGATCATGTCTGAGCTGTGCATGTCCGTGAGGTGATTCTGTGGCCTCTTGGTGTCTCAGGCTGCTCAAAGTCTTCTTGTCCTTCCCAGTTTCAGTTCATCCTCACCAGGAGAAGGAGCAGGTTCCGTGCTGTGTGTTGAATCCAGTCTCTTCTTCCTACTCTTACCACTTTCTGTCCTCTGCCCTTCAGGTTTTTGCTTTCTCTTTGTCACTGGCAATTCCTGATCGTTTCTGCCTGTCTCTTTTTGTTGGCCTGTTCCTCTCCCTCTTTTGAAGGGATTTCTAAAACCCTCCAGTCAGATCAGGAGAAGAGCAGTAGCTACAAGTTCTGGCTTTAGATGGTGAACTAGTTCAGTGAAGGGCATCGTGAGATCTCTGCAGACCTGACCCTTCCCTTTTAGGAGCAGAAAGGGTCTCCGAGTTTGTTCATTCCCAATTATTTCTCTCCCCGCCCCTACCCTCAGGGGAGTGGGTTGAAGGTCGTGTTATTGACCTTTCTTAAATGGAGTTCAGACTCCTTTCTCTCCTCCAGTACCTTTTCTGTCCTGGCACTCACATTGTCCTGCCTCTGTGGATCCAATCTGTTGACTCTGAAGGGAAAGAATTTGCAATATAATAAAGATATATATAGCATTATATAAATATATATATATATGTAGTTACAGGTATATGTGTAGATCTGTATATGTGTGTGTATATATATATGAATACATATAATAAATATATATTCAGCACCTCTTCTACCTCCCATTTTAAGGCTCTGCCACCATCCCTCTTACCTGGTAACCTCCTGCTATGTCAGTCCTGCAGCTGAGAGTTTTCACTCACAGGTCCCTCTCCCAAAATTCCTGCATGGCCATCCAAGCCCCCCTAAACACCTTCCATCACAGGGAATGCACGCTGATCCTCCTATCCTGGATACTGTTTGTCCTGCAGCTGATTATATTAGTAGGTTCCATTCAACGACCCATTAATTTTCTCTGTCTTGTAGAACTGCTTAAGATCTCTGTTAGTGCTCATGGCCATTCAGAGGGCTATTATTACATGCACATGATCGTGTTCACCTAATCTTTCTCTTTGGAATAGCTGAGACAGGAAAAAAAGAAATGCTCTGCTGTAATGTGTTACTGTTTGTGCTTGGAAACCACCTGGGACTGGTGCATAAATGTTGGTTAAAGGCAGGGGAGCAACGAGGGAAACTTGTTGCCCCGTGTTGGAACTGCAGTCCATTCACATTAAACTGGTGAATCATTAGCCTGCATTTTAGAGTCGATGATTTTAGAGTTGCAGAGCAGAACCAATGGATTCATGGACATAATGAAAGCTCCCAAGGCAGGCTAAAAACAATTTACCATTCTCTAATCATAAAAGTTAGTGGTGCAGTATAAACATGCCTTAGCATTAGTTTATCTGTCTATCCTTGCATCCATCCATCCCAGCCTACTGGAAAAAGGTTTCTGGGTCCCAATGGAGAAGTAAGAAAGAAAGAAACATGACTTATTTGCTTTATATTTCTATGGGATTTGGCCAATATTCTTTTTGCCTCTTTCTCCTAAATTCTTTTGTGTATTGTGGAAGACCCAGCAGAACTGTAAAATAGCCTTTCCTGTATGTATGGCTTTTGAAACTGGTGGGGTTCTATGTAGAGAAGAAGTGTAATTTATTCCAGGGCTTTTTATTGTCAGTGTGATAATTCAGTAGATTATCACTTAATTTTAACTGATAATTTCAAATTCTGGTAGGATCCAATAGGAGAAACAACAGATAAAGTGATAAAAAAAATTTTCAAAGAAAAAACAATAGTGTGACGTGAAACAGTGACCTCTCCAAAAGCATATCATGATTCACTCTTACTGAAACACTGATTATGCTTTTTCAATTCTTTTTCTTTCTACACAAAGGACACCAGGATGCAATTGAGGAAAGCTCAATGTGATGAGGAACGAACTGCAAGCAAATTTTTCAAATATGCTGCAAGAAATTAGGAAATCAGCTGTGCTTGGAAGGGGGAAAGAAATCCTTAAAAATTATGGCAAATCAACAAGCTGTGATGAGAGCTTATCTTTCAACACGGCAGGGAGGGAAATGAGGTGTGCCTTCTGTTTCTACCCAGGTCTGTCTCCTCAGGTGAGTCCGTGTCCTCATGGATGTGACCACCTAGAAAGTAATTTTTTATTATATCTTTCCATCTTTCTCTTATATAGGTTTCCAGGCTGTGTTTGTTTTTTTTTTTTTTTCCTAAAAGTGGGAACTGCAGCTCTGGATTGCAGTGTAATTGCTGTGGATAGGAGGAAAAGAGCAAGCACAACTTGTTTAATGTGACACAAAGCTTTTCCCCTTCCTTCAAAACCAGCATCATCAAAGCCTTGCCAACAGCGTTCTGCCACAGCACCTTTCCTGAGGGAGCAATCCCCAGATATATTCGGTTTTGGAGGTGGTTTTCCAGCCTTGGATGTTGGCTCCAGAAAGAGGATAACAGCACCTTTCCTGGGGAAGTAAAGAACCCACCCCTAGTGTCGGTGGCGCCCCGTGGAGGTAAAGGAGAGGTGTGGGAGAAATCGCTTTAATTTTGGAGTCAAGTTTCGGAGGTACATTTAATTTCTTTTTTTGGAAGCTCGCCGCGCCATCTGGTGGAGCTGCCGAAATGCAATTTCCAGCAAAAAAAATTCTCAGTGCCAGCCGAGAAAGATCCACGTTGAGCTCCCACTCCTTGAATCGCATCCCAGCCCCTGGAGCCTTTACCTCTCCCTGGTGTTTTATCATCTGCACCACCAACAGTGGGTCTGGGTGCTTTCCTTCCCGAGGAGAGGTGGTGTTATCCTCATTCAGGAGCCCATCTCCAAAATTTGGATGCAGCCTGCAAAATTTGGCTGCTGCCACGCAAAGGGATCCCACGCAGGATAGGAAACCCTGGCTGTCTTTTCCCCTCCCTGCAGCAGATCACCACCTGCACAGCCAGAGGTGGGCTGGGATGGAGGTGGGAGAGGCTATTGCCTTGCCAAAATCGATGTACTGCCATAATTTACAGGAGCCCAGCTCCACAATTTGTATCCAGTCTCCAAGAATTGAAGATGTCCAGGGATTTATCCCCTCAGAAAAGGAGCCAAGAGAGGAAGCTGTTGCTGGCCATTTACCCCTCCCTGTGCACCCAACCACCTCTAACCCCAACACTGGGGCAGGGTGATTTCCTTCCCAAGGGTTCTTCAGCAGTCCCACAGCAGAAGGGTCCTCTGAGAGACCAGGGAAGGTATTCAGCTCTCTGATTTCCTCTGTCTCCACAGCAGCTCTCCCAGTATTCCCTTTTGAGTCTTTGAAATTCCTGCTCCTGAGGCAATTCATGCCAAGGACACACCGGGCCAGTCACAAAGGGCTGTTTTTGTCATTTATTCCCAGTCAAGCTCACTCAACTTCCAGTACAGTCCACCAAACGTGACATGAAGGGGGTAGAACACACAGTTTGATCACATCCACTTAGTTCTGAGCTTCCCCTACTATTCCTCTAACTGGGACAATAAAAACAAACAAACAAACAAACAGGCTGCATTTGTACACAGCAGATGTCAGATTTCAGGGTTGGTCACTACAGGCAAATGAATTTAATATTCTCACATAAAAGAGGTTTCTTATAGTTTTGATGATTTGTTTTTCCAGTTTTTTATGTTTTCCCCAGCAGGGCCCAAGTGTGACAACTTCTGGAATTACAATCAGAGGTGGTAAGGGGTGTGGGAGAAGGACTGTGTGGGTTCTGCAGGTCTAGTAAAAACGGTGGGAGTGGTTTCCACAAGGCACTTGTCATCATTATTGCCCTGTTAATGTATTCTCTCGCTGTACACAATAACGTAGGTACAAGCAAAAATAGGCTGAAAATGTATTGTCATACCTCAGAGAAAATAAAAAGAGACACATAAAATTTTTAGACGTGCTCCAGTGATTTAGGTTCATTTCCAAACATGGAAAATGCATGTGGAGCAGCTGGAGTTCACTTCCATAATTCTACATGTGTGAATTACTTAAGCCTAAAAAAACCAGATAGACACTCTCGTTCTCCACGGGGTGAGAGAGTCATACCCAGGGGGGAATTAGTTCCCACTATATTATATATCCAGTTTAGGATGAAAAGAACAATCCCCTGAAAATGTATTTTTCTCTCCAAAGGCCATATAGGGAGTCTGGCCAACAAGCAGAGACATAAGAAATCAAATGTCTGCTATTTAATCCTGGGTGAGGCGAGTTCTGTGTTTAGTATCTAACTCCCCTTCCAGGCATTCACACTGAAATTAGACACCTAAATTCTTTATTTCTGGCTACTGTGTGTCTAAAAGCCAAAATCTGCAAATGGCACTAAGAAATGTAGGTCCCTGGTTGAGTGGAATGGGAGAAAATTAACCTAAGCCTAGTTTGGTTCTGTCTTGGTTGGAGAGGGTTTAAAATCTGACTGGTGGGTTTGCTGGCTTAGAAATAATGATGATTTTCTGGGCAACACACAATAATAGTCTGAATTGTCCAGTGGTAGCCTACAGGACACGAATTCAATATAGCACAACAAAAAGACAACCTTTTTTTCAGTTTCTCCCACACAGACAAACACACACATAAAAAAAAATCCACAGTTTCATTGTAATCTATAACATGAGTGGACTTGTGGGTTTGGTAGAATTTAAATCGTGATACAAAAGTTTATATGATGATATTTAGGATGCAACTCCTCTGCTCTTGGAGGACGTGGAGATCTTACAGCCTTGATTCTTGACAGCCTTGAAACGCCCTCAAAGATTAAAAGAACAGCTCTCAGGTTTTGTAGGGTTTTTGAATCAGAAAAAAGAGAGTGCAATCCAAACCATATGTATTTGGTTGCCAATGGGGCTGATTTTTAATTAATTTTTTTTTTTAATAAAACGATGTTTGTCAAACAAAACAAACAAAAGAGGAGGTCTGAAAAGTTCTGTTTTGTGCAGGATCTGACTTTGCACATGGGTTTGGCCAAGATTAGGAGCTACCAAGGCAAACTGTGGGGCCCCTGATGTGCAGTTGTCCCTCAAGGGTCAGAAGGTTTGTAAATCCCTGCTCCAGTCCTGTGGCTTTGTTCACCTTTTATAGTGATGAACTCTGAGGTCTGGGGTTTTCTCGTCGTTCTCCATATAGAGTCCTCAGAGCTGCTCAGGTTGCTCTGTTGAAATTTTGCTGTATATATTTTCCACAACACTTTTCCCCATAGAAACCAGGAGTAACCACTTTTAAGGAAGCTGTGGAAAATATTTCAAATAATACCGAGATTCTGCTGCTTTCCCCCTCCACTCTTAATCACAGTAAATATTTAAAAGGGACAGGGAAGTTATTCAAAGACCAGGCTGCATTTTCCATTACATTAAAAAAATTTAAAAAATTAAAAAATAGAAAATTAAGTCTTTGCTACTTCATTAAACATTTTCTTGGTAGATCCTCTATTATTTTTTTAGGTACAGTGAGCAATGTGAGATTAAAACAAATATAGCAAAGCTTCCTTTTTTATGTAGGGTTGTAAGTGTAAGTAAAATTAATCTTGCAGCTGTGTCAGTCTGATCTTTTTATATGATGGCACGAGAACTGACACAGCTCTGTGGGGCTTCTGTCGCTGTGACAAATTTAGAAATAAAATAAAGACTCGACAGTCCATATAACTTACATAATTTACTCTGAATGTTTGTTTATATTGCTATGTTAGCATAAAGCCCTGGTGTAAATTATATAAGTCAAGGAATTTGTCTCCACTTTCTCAGCACAATATCCATGTTTTCTCTGAAATAGCTGCTTTAGTATCCACAGTTCAAACAAAATCACCTGCGAAGTGATGGCGATTTCAACTCTTCCCCTAAGAAATGGGAAAGCCTGGGGGCCTGCAAGCAGCCACCTGAGTTTGGATGATAAGTGGGAGCTCATTACGATCCAGTGCCTTCATTGCTTGTCTTGGAGTGCCACAAGGAACACACAGAGGGAGACCTGAATTGGTCCACGGTGTGGAAAATGGCAGAGCAAGCCTGCTGGGTGAACAGTGCCCAGAGTGCAGCCGCCTTTCCCCTCCTGGTTAGTGGGTTAAACAAACCAGGACGATCCAGGTGGAGAGGGCTCAGCCAGCACCTGTGGCAGATTGACCCAGCCTGCAGCAGCTCTCGGGTCATTTTCCTCACATTGGTGAGGAATTTGTGAAAATCCGAATTTATGAAAACCTTTTCCCACTGACGCTGCTCCTTCACCGTTTTGGTTCCCTTGGGATTGGCCGGCCAGGCTTGCTGGGAAACCCACCACAGCGTGGAAATCTGTGTGGATTTCCCGGAGCCAAAATTCGGCGTTTCCATCGAGATCAGCTAAGGATTTTTTTTGCATCCCCCCTCCCTCCCCGGGGCCATCAGGTGAAGCGGCTTCTGCCTTTACGCTGCCCATCCGCCATGGTCACATATTCCCCTTTCTCCGGGGTCACCAGCCCACGGAGGGACCCCCCGGCCGCCGGTGAGTGCCCCGCGGGGACGGGCAGGGGAGGCGGAGGGGTGGAGCATCCTTCCCTGCCTCCTCCTTCCCCGCATCCCTCTCCTCATCCTCCTCTGCATCCCTCCTCGCATCCCTCCCTGCATCCCTCCCACCATTCCTTCCCGCATCCCTGAGGATCCTCCTGGCGTCCCTGCCCCGATCCCTCGGCGCATCCTCCCCACATCCCTCCCCGCATCCCTTCCCTCTCCGGCTCGGGGAGATGTCGGTCGGTAGCGGAATTTTCGTCTCTTCTGGAGTCTGACGTGGGAAAACTGGTGACGTGTTGTACCTGAGGATCGGCCTGTGGTGGTTTCCGCTCACTTAAAGGTCCAAACATACCCTAAAACATTTCGAATTCCCGTAATTACCATCCCCCTGCCCCCAACCTTCCCCCGCTTCCCTCCCCCCATCCCCGGCAAATCAAAAAGCCCTGATGCAAAATATCCTTTCAGATCAGAGCTGAGAGTGTCCTGGCATTCAAGAGCTTTTCATTTTTCTTAATCCTCTTAAAAAAAAAAAAAAAGCATTTCAAAACATTTTAGCTTGTCATGTGGAGGAATGAAAGTGCTTCATTTAAAAGCAGCAAAATGAAACGTGCTGGTTGATTCCACATTCACTTTGCCTTCTTTTTTTTTTTTTTTTTTTTTCCTCCCCTTCCTGTTTAGACAATTTTGTGGAAATGTCAGAACTGAATTAAATCATGAAGTTTAATAGACAGAAATAAGCAAAATTTTCATGTTTTGGTAAAGAAAATTGTGACCATAAATATTACTCATTATATGTATTTTCAAAAATATCACATGACCACGCTATTTCAGAGGATGATTAGGTGGTTTAAAGATTTCTTTTTAATTAAATCTTGTTTAACAAGACATAGATACATAGCAGAACTTAGAAACTTTCAATCAACAACCATTTTTCCCCTAAAGCATTGAACTTTAATGCATGGAAAAGGAAACAAATAAAAGAAAGGGGGGGAAAAGTAAATGCAATAAAAGATTTCGAGCCCTGTGAAGGACTGTTGAGGACTGTCTCAGCTGCTCAGTGTAATGCTGTGTTGATGCTTCAAATAAAAGGGAGATAACAAAAGATGCTCATTTTCTCTAGATCTGAGGTTTCTGATTTCTCATCCCTACAACAGCCAGGTAAGAAACATCAGAGAGAAAGGAGCAATCTGGGCTTGCCAAGATTTCGATGCTCTGCAGTGTTTGGCCTCAGCCATCCAGCCCCATCCTCACCCCAGAGCTCACTGTAACCCCTCTCATGGCAGGGAAACACCTTTCCCCTCAATCCATTGCAAATCCTTTACTCTTTAGCGATCTGGATGCAACCCCTGGATCCTGCAAGGTTTAAAAATTCTGTCCCAAGGGCCTCCAGCTCTAGTACCTAACGACAAGTCCAAGGAGTTGGACTTGATGATCCTTGTGATCCCTTCCAACCTAGGATATTCTGTGATTCCAAGAGCTGCTCTGTGTCCTGTGAGGCACCACAAGCCCCAGACCTTTGCAGTTTGTGCCCTTGAGTTTTAGGGCTCGAGTCATGATGGAAAAAACATGAATCTTCGTCCATCTTTGATGGCACTGAAATAAAATGAGCAAACAAACCAACTGACTGCACAGAGGCTCTCTCAGGACTTCTTTTTCACTAGATGAACATCCACAATGTGTTTTTCAGCTGAAAAAATATCCCATGTGAAAAAGGGGCTGTTGTATTGAAAACCGTGTTCTTGGTGGGAGCAAACAAATGAATTTCATTTCATTGGAATTTCATTTCAAGTTTTAAAAAAGCTGCTTCGAAAGAGGCAGATCAGTGTGATCAGAAAGTGGGATCAGAAAGTCTTTTAAGCAGAAGAGGCTGGAGGGGATTTAGGTAAGGGATTTAGGTACAGGATTTAGGTAAGTAAGTAACATAAGTAAAATATCTGAGTGGGCTTTTTTTGCTCAATGTGGTGGAAGACATGCAAAATTGTGTTGTTAAATTCCAATTATCCAAGCCTAATTCAAAAGAAATCCCAAGCTGAGTCTCTGCAAGCCTACCAGAAGTTAGACTACCCTGTTAGACTACCTTGGCTAAATCAGTTACTTCAGAGTAGCCATCTGCTAATAGTCCATGTGCTGCAATGCAGCCTCTTGGAATCCTACTGCTCCAGAGAGGGGGGAAAATGAAAATAAAAGCAAGCAGAAGAAATCCCAGGGGACTGCAGCTTCAGGAGGCGAAAAATCGGTGCTTTTTGCTTGCCTGTCTCTTCCCAGTTTCCTGCCCCCTTCAGCGCCTGAGAAAGACAAGAAGAGTTTGTGCACTTTGGAAACTCGATAGGAGGCAGCAGCTGATCTTCCCATCACCAGCCTAAAAATACTCCACTCCGGGGCTCGGAGCAGCTTCACTAAGTGGAGGAAAATCCTGCCATCGGGATGATATTGATCACATAGCAGAGCCGAGTGACAGTTTGGGTTGGTATTTGGGGTTTGTGTTGCCAAAGGTAAGCGGCAGAGTTCCTTCTAACACTCAGCAACCAACCGGGGCATGCGATGACCCTCCCCCATTATCTCCCACTAACCACCTCCTCCTCCTTCCCTTTATATCTCTGGGACAGGGCTGCTCCTCGTTCTTTCCTGGGATTACAACTCCAATCTCTTTTCCCTTTTCCTTTTTCATTCGCAGGCGTTCTCAGTCTTTACTGTCTCCTCCTGCTGATTTTTTTTTTTTTTTTTTTTGCTGCTGTTCACAGGGTTATGTTTGTGTTTTTTTTTTTTTTTTTTTTTAAACTGTCCTGTCTTGGCATGTGAAGTGGAGGGTTTTAGAGCAGCAGGGCAGGGTAGCACGCTGGTGTTGGGAATGGCATTGTGTGGAGAAACTTAACCAAAAAAAAGAGAAAAGAAAGCGATGTGTTAGACCCGTGAGGCCACTGCAGATGTTTGTGTGAGATGCCTTGCAGTGCCAACAGCCCGTTTAGCACCGCTGCTGCTGTGATTTTCGCTGTGTTCGGAGCCTGATCCAAAAAATCCTCCCGAAGTCAATGAGATTCTTTGCATTGACTTCAGCAACGTTTGGATCAGGCTGCTGGTTTACGGCAGCGAGCGATGCGAATGCTGACAGGCACCAGAGGTAATTCATCACTGCAGGGCCCAGGGTAACTGGGACAGTGCTCAGCGAGGAAGAGGGGTCTGTCTAGAATGGGTGGTCACAGCTTAAAGAGGAATAAAAAGGAAATGGGGTTTTGTGTAGGATCATTTTTTTATAAAAGCAGGTTTTAGAGAGGGCAGCGCGTTTTGCCAGAACTCTTTGCAAGCGATGCATGGACTGTAGATCACGCAGGCTGCGTTAGGTCCAGTGCTTTTAGGAGGGTAAGAAGGACAAACTAGAAGGTTTCAACCCAGAAAGGAAAAAAAAAAAGATTCAGAGCGCTCACCTAAAATCTGTGGCAAACCTCAGAGTTAGGCCTTCTGTTGTGTCTGTTCAAACCTACAAATTCATAATTCGTCCTTAGCTGAAATTCACTCCATGAAATTCAAGAAAGAAAAATTCTTGCTTTTGCAATGACTGGTTTATTCAGAAGACAAGAACTTCTGTGTAACTGGGAGTGCTTTCTCAATCCTGCACCTATATGCATACCCATGTCTGTCTCTCTATATAGACATTCATATATATGTGCATATACAGGCATATAATGCATATCATATGTAAGACCAAAACGAAATTCGATCTGAACTGAGACACAAATATGCTCTGTAAACTGATCTCTCTTAATTAGAAAGTGCAGCTATCAATCCATGTGTTTTTTTTTTTAAATAACGGGCCACAGAACTACTGCAATAAATGTTTTTCAAAATATTTTTATTCCCCCAAGGAAGCTCCACCTGAGGAGTGTACTTATACTCTTTTCTTTATAGTCATAAATATCTTGCAGAGCATGACGAACAGAGGTATAATCCAGGTGAGTTGAAACTCTTGAATGTGAAGATTTTTAAGTCCACTTTTAAAAGACCCTTAAGGTAGTTAAAATGTCTTTCACTAGAATTCTTATAGTTTTGTACTTGGTGAGGATGCGAGGATGTTCTCATAATTTTTATGGAAATTCAGATTATCTACCGTTTTTCCATTGTCTTCCTCACAACTGCTTGTGGAAAATATATCTCATGAACTGGCTTAGTGCCCTGAGAATCCCCACTTGTGCTTGTTAAAATGATATTTGTGAGTGTTTAGGTTCAGTGTTATGTCATTTTCATGTTTACTACTTTGACCTACTTTTTCTGTCTTCCCAAAACCTCTGTCTTCTTCACAGTGAATCAGGTTTTTTTTTTTTTTTTTTGCTGTTTTTCTGTTATCTTCTGACTATGTCTGTACACCTTCACCCAAACCCAGGAAGTCTCAACTTGCCAGTGATTGGGATTTTAGCACTTAAAAACTTAAATGCTTAAAGGACACAAGGGTTTTTAGCAGGGTGTTTAATTGCAGGGTGAACTGCTGTTCAGAGAGTTCACATCCTCATTAAAGCAAACCCACGGGGAATCAGAGTCCCAAATGATGCGAAGGAGGGCTGAGAATTGCCTTCCACTGGCACCCACATGGGCCCATCCTCCTGATTGTTCTTTCCATTCCCCCCCTGCTCCCCGGGAAGTTTTGCTGGTGGCTTTAGCTCCTATGTGACTGTTCAGCAAAGGCCATTTTTCAAAGGGAGGAAGAAAAGCCACCTCTGGGAATTTCTGATGAGTTGTAGAGTTCATAAAAATGTGAGTTAAAGTGAGTCATTTGCCAATAACTTCAAAGGGCAAAGGCCTGACAACCTACAAGTGTTAAACCCAAAACTTACCTGGTACTTGGCACCCCTACTGAAGAATGTAGCTGGTACCCTCAGGTAGCACATGCTTGTTATCAGATGATCTTTATCACATTACTGCCTTTTCTCTGACTGAAATGACAGATTTAACCTGGTATACTTGGTAACATTATTATAAAGTACAGCAAATGTTTACATTCCTGCTGTAATTAGCAGTGAAGCAAACGTTGTGATGTACCCACTTCAGTGTAATCACCCCAGCATAACTTATTGGCCTACCATATTCTAGAGAAAGAGAATTTATCTCTGGGAAAGCCATTTTTTGGTAACAACTATGAACAATGTTGTCATGAAATGAGTTTATGAGGATCTCAACAGCTATTCTGAAAGGCTGCTACTGCCTGACAAATATTAGTGGTCAATAACTGCAGATGATCAACAGATTTCAGAATAACTTGCTCCCCTTTCATCTTCTCTCTCCTGAATGTTCCTGTTTGGGTTATCCATTTTATTCCTTGAATGTGGCAGTTGGATTGCTCCCATTTTTTGCACCCCCTGCTCTTTGCCAGTCAGAGCCATCCGCTTGTAGAGAAGCCTTCAGCTCCAAAGGTTCCCACCTGAGCATGAGCTTAGAGCAAAGATCTTTGTAAATCCATATGAGAAGGAGAGGCCTTTGCTTTCCAGTGACTTCCCCTTTCCTTTGGGACCCACAGATAAAGATTTGCTAAGAAACTGGTGGACATTTCTCCACTGTCATGCCTTGTGCCTGTGGCCCTTGGGACAGTCCTGCATGAGCCAACTTTGGAACTGAAGTATGGCAACTGCAACAGCTCAGCACTGCTGTTAATCTTGCCTTGAGCAGGGCTTCTTATTTTGGGAATTGGCACCAGGGGGGTTAAGACTGTTAATTTTGAGACTGGACTAATATTTGTGTGGCTCTCTGCTGGACTGTGAGCCTGCAGTGCAGCAGGCTACTGAGGGTGATAAAACCACCTGGCTTTGCTGCTTGATTCACCTGAGCACAGTTCCAGGAAGGCTGGCTTTGTGCTGCTGCTGGTGTTCCCAAGGAAAGGCTCTTGGCAGGTGTGGGAGGGCAGGGGCTGCTACAGAGTGTGATACCCTCTCTCAGTTGCAGCATTAACTGCTTTTATCCCTTCCACCCACTGACAACAGAAATCTCTTCAAATTTCTCCTCATGCACCTCTGCAGCCCTGTTTTTCCTCTGATATCTCCCTGCATCCTCACTGTGGCCTAAAAAACCTGTCCCCTCATCTTTGGTGAGGAGAAAATTCACCTTTGGCTGCAGGGTGGGAAACCTTGAGTCAGCTCTGTGTTCTGGCCTGCTCAGGGCTAATTCCCAAACCTCCAGCACAGCTGTTCTTTACAGGTTTTGCTGTTCCATGTGGTCAGCATTCTGTCTTTGGCAGTGATCAACAACTGGTGCTTGGGAAAAATAGAAGAAGCCTTCCATGTGTTTAGTGATGTGCTTGCACAGCGCTCAGCACTGAGAGAAACAAACAGCACACGGGCAAGACTCACCTCTCTAAAGATCTGGTTCACCTCTCTAAAGATCTGGTTCACCTCTCTAAAGATCTGATTCACCTCTCTAAAGGTCTGATTCACCTCTCTAAAGATCTGGTTAACCTCTCTACAGACCCAGTTCTGACTGAAGCCCAACACTGGCTTACTAAAAGAGCTAAAGCAATGGAAGAATAGCTTAATTTTTATTAAGAGAGCCAAATTTGGCCAGTGCTCAGTCATGGAAGTGTTCCATCTTCCTTTCCAGCTGCAGTTTTTGATGAGTTACAACAGTAAGCATGACTGCAATTCTTAATTTTTCTTCTAGATTTGTTGTTCTTCCTTTTCACCATTTAATTGCATGAGATGAGATGAAATCTTATGGGATTACAGCAGAGGAAGGAATAGTGCCTTTTCACTCTACCTTTCGTTTGGTATCTGCAATCAAGGTCTTTCAAACTGTCTTCATTTCCAGGCTCAGTTTTTTGAGTGAAGATTTTCAAAACCTCATTAAAAAGCCAGTATAGCCGAGGCCTTTTAAAAATCTTTATGATTCTTAGAATGATTAAAGATCTCTTTCTTTAAAGAACTCCCAATACTGAAATATGGTTTGAAAATGCAACTTGGACTCTTAAATGAGTCTTTTGAATCTTTTGAACGTGTAGCTTACACTGTTCACAGCCCTGAGAACGTGTCCTTGTGTAGTTACACTGAACTTTCCAGGCATGGGATCTGAGTGTGGGCATGAGAAGTTTGAGTCACAAAACTGTGGAGGGTTTAACAGATCTGCCTTCTGCACCAGAAATGGGTGGGAAGGGAATGATGGATCCCTTGGAGCTCTGCTGTCCTGCAGTGTGTTTCCACACACCACTCCTGAAGGTACAGGGAGCTGCCAGCAGCCTGTCTGGGTAGACACCTGAAGGTGTTAGGGAAGTTGGGATACACCAACAGATGCAGAACACGAGTCCTCCACTTCCAGTCACAGCTCATTCCCGGACAAAAGGATGGAAGGAAGGGAGGGAGGAAGGGTCACTGGACTGTTAATGCTCCCAGAGTTCTTATCTCCTCTGTTCCCTCTCACTGCCATGCTGTCATAGGTGTGTGTCCTGAGGTGGGTGCAGCTGAAAAGGGAAGTTGAGCATTTCATGATTTGGCATTTTATGAGGCGTTGGGTCAGCACAGCATCACAATGCTGGCCAACATGTCCAGACAGATTTTAAGCCTGTGGAGGTTCAGTGAATATGGTCACTGGATATGCTCATTAAAGATGATGTGTTTTCCGATTTAAAATCTTGGGAATTTATTGCCAGTTACCCTCTATCATTTCATTGGCAACATGATAATTTTTCATGTTTGCTGGGGATTTTTTTAGAAACTAACCAACCTAGGCTGGATTTTCTGTCTCATTTTAACAGAAGACAATTAAATTCTACTTCCTTTTTGAAGTGAAGATGTAACAAAAGTACTGTGAATAAACTGCTCATACCTACTCTTGGAAATTATCACCAGCATGACGAGCACTGTCTCTACACTAATAGGACCAGATTCTTTTCTCAGCAAAGGACAACTGCTTTTAAGAATGTGTTGTTGGTGTAATAGGAAATCTCTACAAACTGTTAGCTAGGAGAAAACACTGTCCATGAAATTAATAGTCCTTTCTTCCACAGGAGCACCTACTGCCTATATTCCATTCCCCTTCCAGAAAAATAGGAAAAAAAAAACCCAACAGTTCCCATGGCTTCCCTTGGACTTGATTTTAATCCTTTCTCCCAGATTTATGTTTGACCAGAAGCCAAAAGCTACACTGGAAGTCAGTGATTCAGTGCTCATTTGAACCCAGGACTCTCCTGCCTTTCGGTACCACTCCAACCACCAGACCACAACAGCATCTTACAGGGCCTCAGAAAAGAGTCCTCTTTGTGGGAAAGGGAGGAAAATTCCCAGCAGAACTCCCTTGGACTTCTGACCTTTGATAAAAATGAGGAAACAGCACTTCTGATTTTCAAGAGATTATCATTACCATTAGGTTTCTCTTAAAGGAGACATGCCGAGCTTTTACAAGTTAAACCCACACAATCTCTGTGCAGCTTCTTGAAAAGTTCCTTTTTTTTTTTGCTAATAACTCCCCAATTAAGTCAGAATTCATACTAACATCATATTTCTTTTGTGTTGCTAGTCTCATTTATTGAGTAATGTGTTTTTATATAAAAATAAAGTGATAGAATGATAGTGGTCATGTCACTCTATTCATTATAGAGAATGGGCCAAACTCTCCATCAGATTGTTCTGGACTATTAGCAGATGTTTTTTGCTGAAGATTGAGTGGGTTGTCCATCAGCTTTTGCATCACAGTAAGTACATGCATGCGAGTTATGTTTTACTTCTGGCAAATCTCAGCCATAAATTGCTGATATATTTGGGAAAGGAACTGCATTTCTCACATTCTTTTGAAAGAAACTCCTTTACAAATGTCACTGATGTGTTTCAATATGGATTACCCTTTTCAGATCCAGCAAGAAGTTAGTTAAAAGTGAAAAGGGGGTTTAGCAGAGGTTCAAAATGCCTCTTTGAATTCTCTACCTTTTGAAGATCTTCATGTTTATGCTTCCTCTAAGGGACTACTTGAGTAGTTTATGCTTACCTTGTTTAAATAATTAAGCTCACAGAATTAATCTAAACTATTTGAGGAAAGAAGGAAAACTTTTTCTCCCCATTAACTATCTTCTTTTTTTTTTTTTTTAATTTAAACTACATTAATGCCTTTTTGCATCTCTATCTTGTTTTGATTCAGCAAAACGCATTTGTCATTAATGCCAATGTTGCTGGAGAAGCACACTCTGCTGAATTAATTACACCCTTTCTATTTTAGTGTGCAAAATTCGAGAAAAGAGGATGATGTGAGTAAATGAGTTTGCATAACCCAGTCCAAACCCCTGTGCTGCTCCTCATAGGTCTCAGGCAAAGAAATGAGCGAGGAAACATTTTCGGTTGCAATCTTGTTTCGTCTTCTGATAGGGAAGACTGAAAAAACAGAAGATGCACAGGTTGATGAAAGCCAGAGATGGGTCACACTGTGGTCTGCAAGCACAAACACACGAGCTTATCTTGGTGTACAAAGATAGTCTCTAAGAAATCAGGGTAGTCAGGGGCTGCTTGGATGAGCCTGAGCACGTGCATAAGGATTTGCAGGATCAAGCACAAATGCTGATCTACTGCCTGTGCAATCTTCAGTACTACCTACTTTGGGTAAGAGTTTGTCAGGCATCTCCAATGACTTGTGTGTGTGACTGTTGCTCTGTGCAACGACGAAGAAATACAAAATATCCCTGAATGTAAAGCTGTCAAATCATGAATATCAAAGGTCCAGAGCAGAATGTGGTGCAACAAATGGTTAGAGACATTGCACAGGCAGTGTTGGCTCACCAGAGAAGCACCTACACACAGGAGTCAGCTTATGGCCATTTGGGGTTCCTTATGAGAAATGGAAACACTTCTTATTCAAAACTTCCTTATTCTCACAGGGAGAATATCTGTGCACACAATGAACACTGAAAGGCACAATTTATTTAAAAACAGCACTTACTGTAAATAGTAAATACAACTAAATATAAACAATATCAGCAGAATATAAATGTCTCATAAACACAGCCTTCATTCTAGCGTGCTTATACTTGACGTGGCCCAAAAGAGCCTTCAAAATACGACTGTGTTGGGTTGTTCAGTGTCTCTTTATTCCATTTATTTTGTCTTTAGGTAAAGGTAACGCCAGCACTCTTGGTAGTCAAAAAACCTCTCTTTTTTTTTTTTTTGTTTTTTGCAGCCTCCAGACCCCGTGGGAGCGATGAGACTCGCCTTCTGTGGGAACGACAATGCCTCAGCCTACAACATCAGTGCTGGGGTGCTGAGAAATGTCTGCTTTGTGGATGCCCTCAACTTGGTTCCCCATGTCTTCCTGCTGTTTATCACCTTCCCAATCCTGTTCATCGGTGAGTTGATCAGCAATCCTGCAAACCCCCGAGCTCAGGTTTATATTCGGTCTGGTTTTGTTTGCCTCGTGGTGAAACCATTGGATGCTTTATATTTCTTGATTTATTAAAAAAAAAAGAAGAGGCAGAGTGGTTTCACCCCGAGGGTGTGATGCCAACCAGCTTTAAATGTGGGCATTCTGGATGTGAATATGAACTAATCAGCGTGAAGAGATGGATGAGAACCGGAGGCATCAGAGCCAAACTTCTTTTCCTCAGAACTGAGATTGCCAATTTACAACCTTTGCTATTGTTAGACATTAGAAGATTCGGGGCAGTGGGTCTGAATTCCCTTCAAGTGATGCAAATTTTGGGGAATATCTAAAATGTGCAACTTTGAACTAAGGACAGGACAAGCGTAGGAAATTTTTAGAACAGAGTAATTGCTTCTTTTGCCAACATTTGTAAAGAAAAGTAGAGCTATAGGGATACTTTTTTTTTCCCCCCCCATGGGAATGAAAAGAAGAAGTGATAAATCCCCCTTGAGGAATTTAGGACAGTGGAACAGCTCTAACTCCCACTTTCTTGTATAAAACCCCTACCTAAACTAGTACTGTAATGACACTTTTTTTGTCTCTAGTTATCTCTTTATCCCAGTTAATTTTCAGGGATGCAATAAGTGCAATTTCATACTTTTTCAGAGCTGTCAAACTGATCATAGGAGATAAAGAGACTTGAATAACCACCAAAAGGTGGTTATTAATGAAAGTATTAAGTTATTAATACTAAGTATTAATGAAAATAAATATTATCCTGACAGCTGCATGAGAAATGGCACATCAGTTCTTCCATGCCACTTTCCTGGTGTCACATATGTACATAGGAATACATTTCTTCCACGAGGAAGATTTGAGTTTGGGACTATATTTGAACTGGGGATTTAAGGAACTTCTCTTATTCAAAAAGACTCTGAAGTGACTGAATAATAGGCTACAGGAACCTGTGAGCTAAAACACTTGGTACCAGGCAATACATTATAACCTAAATAAGATATTATAACATAATCCAGTGACTGAAAACTAATTAAATAATGAAACAAGGGAATAAGTAAAAAGTTCTAACAAAATAATAACTAAAGACTGGTTAAAAACCCCAAAAAAACCAGACAAGGGTTATGGAGAACTTTTTCCAACAGTGCTGTGTTTTTGTGTCAGTGCTGGCTCTTTCTTTGAGATCAGAGCAAGCCACCCTTGAATGACAGGGTTTTCTGCAGAAGTCTTTGATGGAAGCTCAGTGCAAGGTCTGAGGGCAGAGAGAAACTTTGACAACACTCTGTATTATGCATTGAGTGGCTGCTTTAGTTTTTTCCCAGGTATCAGCCAATTAATTTCGAAATAGCATTGTAGCCACTGAAAATCCCCTCTGTTTTCTGACAGTGTTGTGGGAAAAAAACCCCACAATAGCTTAAATTGTATGTTATTTGTTTGAAGTAAATGTATCTCTTTGAGGCTTCATTTGAGGAGGCAAATTTTATATCAGTGGAAAACTCTTGTCTGTGACTGGGAAAGATGTGATGTCATGCCATTACTTCAGATCTGTTGATCTGAGGATGACACTTGAGATTTTGTTGTTGTTGGTGGTGGTTTGTTTTGTTTTCTCACCATTTTTCTTGACCGGGGATGACTTCTCTTTAATTGCAACTGTGGGAAGACTGTTGTCCCATTGTCTTCAGGGTTAGGTTGAAATGATGTGGCAACTGAGACACTCCTGGCTCATCTTTTCAGTCACAGCAGCCCCTATGGCCTTGTAGGGTGGTTTTTTATATATATATATATATATACATGGATTAGAATAGAAAAATCACCGGTTATCACTGTGATAACCTTTCTCTCCCATTACCATCATTTCCCAGGCTGGGGAAGCCAAAGCTCCAAGGTCCAGATCCACCACAACACCTGGCTGCACTTCCCTGGGCACAACCTGAGGTGGATCCTGACATTCACCCTCCTGTTCGTGCACGTGTGCGAAATCGCAGAGGGAATCGTTTCTGACACGTGAGTGACACACTTCTGGTGGACAACCAAGCTAATTGCATTCGTTAATATACGGTCTTAATGTGTGATGGGACGGATTGTAAAGCATAAGGAGGTTTTCATCCCACCTCCTTCCCGAAAAAAATCACAGAATCATTTCATGAGCTGTCCAGATTTTGGTGGGATGGAGGCGATTGTTCTTAGCACTTGTTCTCCTCTCATGCTACAATGGCAAGTGAATATTAACAAAATTTAAAGCATTCACATGGAAAAAAAAATCCTTTTTGTCCCTGGGAAAGTCACGTTTTTCCTCTTGAATAGATAAGCAGAACACCTGTGTTTTCACACAGTGGTGAAAAAAGGCATCAAATCCACTAATTTCTGCCTGATTTATTTTCAGACAAATGAAATCTCGCCACCTACATCTCTTTCTACCAGCTATAATGGGATTTGTGGCTGCCACTGTGTCCATAGTCTATTACCATAATATTGAGACATCAAACTTTCCAAAGTTACTGCTGGGTAAGTCTAAGTCTAATATTTATGTACTCAAGGCTAATTTTTATGTACTCTTACAAGACCCAGTGGTTTAGCCAAAGTCAGCTTGTGTAGATTGAGGAGGAGGGTGAAATATGTGAGAATATTAAAAGAGAGAAGGATAATTCTCGGCTCTTCCAACTAATAGTATCATAGGAGTTACTACACCTTTTATAAAGTACATGCTGAGAACCATTTTTAAAATTATCACAAAACAGATGACTGTTGTATTTTTATCATGAGCTTTTAGATATTTCTCAACACTGCTCATTGTTTTGAGGAAGCACTTGTCTTCACTCAAAAGGACTATTTCAAAAGGCCACTTTTAACAGCAATCTCACAACAAACCATCATGTGCAGTTGCTGTTGTTTCTCAGCATCCTTTGCAGTTGGTTCCAAGGTTATCCAGTCTGCTGTCTCAGTCGGGAGATGGTCAGATTGGACATTGCAGGATAATAACTGATACAGATTCATACTGTCCAAATTACCTATAACTCAGAACCTGAACAAGCTGGTAACAGGCACAAGCCAGGATTCAGGACACCACTAAACTCCAGGAAGTCTTTTTTAAAATGGGCACATTTCCATATTCTCACTTGGGATGCACCTTGCTTTTTCAAAGAGGCAATGTGATGTTTGTTAAGTTATGAGACTTCTGCTTCTTGTTCTAACATCCCTGCCATGGGCAGGGACAACTTCCACTAGACAAGGTTGCTTAGAACCCCATCCAACCTGCCCTTGAACACTTCCAGGGATGGGACATGGAAGCTGAAACTTCTGAGGCACTGGTGTGGTTAAATTCTCATATATATATATATTTATTTATTTTCACTATGAGTGTGCGCCTGTTTCACAGCTCTCTTCCTTTACTGGATCATGGCCTTTGTCACCAAAACCATCAAGCTTGTGAGGTACTGCCAGGATGGTGTCCCTTTCTCTCAGCTGCGTTTCTGCATCACTGGGATTATGGTCATCCTCTACGGGCTGCTCATGGCTGTGGAGATCAACGTCATCCGAGTCAGGGTATGTGGCTTCTTTAGCAGGGTCTGGGAAAACATCAGCAGCATCACAGGGGGAAGGTGGGTCTTTAGTCCCCAGTAACTCTGGTTTGTGTCAAGTTTAGGCCCAAGTTTAGCTTAGGCATAAATATTTTGTTGATTCTGTAGAGATCAGTGGGCGTGTCTTTAAAATGTATGTCCTTGGTGTGTCTCCTGGGCTTGGTGTGTATGGGTGACTGTGTTCAGCTATCTATCTATCTATCCATCTATCTATCTATCTATCTATCTATCTATCTATCTACCTACCTATCTATCTATCTATCTATCTATCTATCTATCTAATCTATTTATCTATCCATCCATCTATCCATCTATCCACCCATCCTTCTCTATATTTCTATATCTATATCTACATATATTTAGAGACAAAGTCTCTAAATATCTATTTATATAGATAGGTGCATATTTGCATAAATGCAATTTTGACTTTGTAGCTATATTGTACTTTTTTTTTTTTTTTTTGGCTAGAGATCACTGTTAACGAGATAATTTCTGAGCATGCTGTTGTCTGTTTTCTCCTCTCCAGAGGTACGTGTTTTTCATGAACCCCCAGAAAGTGAAGCCCCCAGAGGACCTGCAGGACCTGGGAGTGAGGTTTCTGCAGCCTTTTGTCAATTTGCTCTCCAAGGCCACTTACTGGTGGATGAACACTCTCATTATATCTGCCCACAAGAAACCTGTGGACCTGAAGGCCATTGGAAAGCTCCCAATTGCAATGAGAGCACTGACAAACTACGTCTGTCTCAAAGAAGCGTACGAGGAACAAAAGGTAACCACAGATGTTCATGTCGCTGTTTGGCCTTGGAAACGTGAAGTGTCACTCTGAATTGTTTTTTTTATTTTTTTTTTCCCCCCAGCTTTTATGAAATCCTAGTTTTAGGAGTTTTTAACTCGGGACTGTTTGTTCCAAGGTGAAACTTGGCATGGGGAGTTCCAGTCTGATAGATGCTGTTCGGTTTTAAGTGAATTTATAGCAGGAGGGAGTTGCCAGATGGAGTGCAACTGGAAACTAAAACCACAACAGAATGATTGGTTGCTAGATTTTAAAAGCGAAAGCTTTGTTTGAATCTGAGCTACTCCAGACAGCATCTTAAATTGGAAGACATTCTGCCCATAGTATCAGCTGGACACACTCATCTTCACTTTTTTTTTTCCTCCAGAAAGAGAAGTAGCCAAAACTACACATCAAAAATAGCCAAAACACTGGTGTCTTAACAATGCTTTAGTCACTAATGTCAAGCACAGCACTGCATGAAGAAAATTAACTCCATGCCAGCCAGACCCAGCACAGAAAGTATTTTTGGGAAAACTCACTGAGGAAGAGAAGGATTTCCCAGGGAAACTTCTGGATGTATTTAGGCAGCTCTCTTCTCCCAGTAGGGAGCTGCAGGCTCCTTTCTGTGCCCTCTGGGATGAATCCATAATCAGCCCAATTGTTTTATATTTTAAAGGATGCAAGTTCCTTCTCTTCCCTTTTGCAGACAGTGACTCCAGAGAGCAGAGATCAAGATCCTTCTGCTTTAAGCAGAAAGCTACTGAGTCATTGGAACTGAGCTTTTCTCAGCAAGGGACAAGTGCATTCCTTGGGCCAGCTCCTCAAGGTGCCTAAATCCTACTTAAAGAGGACAAAGAGTCTTAGGCACCTCCATGCCCTGAGTACCTGAGTCTCTGGGCCATTCTTAATGACAGGCAAGAGGACAACTCCTGTAGCTCATTTACATCTGCAGGTGCTGTCTGTGCCTGCACAAATATGCAGTTCAGAGGCCAAAAGTCAAGTTAAATGTGCTATTGCTTGTGTGCAAGAGCACAGATTTTTGGTGTGCATCTTCCCTTGGTGTGTGTCATGCATGTAGGAAGACTGTCATGAATGTGCCCCATGCAGTTACACTCACCTGTGTTTCTAATGTTGCCTTGCATCAGATGTTTTGGGGTATGGAATTGTCCAAAATCTTGAGATTACCACAGCTATCACAGTTGTGCTAATATTGGAAAACAGTCTGTAACCCTAAAGTAAACTGGTTCTTTGCAGATAAAGTTAAAGTAAACCAAAAGGCTAAAGCAAATCCAAGGATCCAGGCAGTGAAACTCACTGCAGTTCATCCCTGTGGAGAAATGTGCTGGCCTGTGCAGGGCTGGGCCAGAAACAGCCACATAATTAGGAAAATTCTTCAGGTTGGAGCGTGGTCTGGAGTCTGGAAGAGATGATCTGTCACTGTCTCTGCTGCCAGTGTGTATCTTACACTAATCTTCTACTGGAAGGGAGGGCAGCCCCCCACCATCCCCTGGATTAAGTGGGGTTACCCCTGCCTGTGCCTGGAGGCAGCTGATCTCAGCTGTGCTCCACTGCCCTGCAGAGGGAAAGCTTCTGTTCCTCTGCAAACCCTCCTTATCACACCTCGATGAAAGACAGTGAGCATGACCACCAGTATTCTACAGTGCAAAATGCCCTTGAGACAGCTCACGTGACATTGGCTTGCTATCTCTTCTGCATGCTCTGAAAATCGAAATAATTTAATAAATTCTCACATAATCCCATCCCTTCCCCACCCTCAAAAAAAAAAAAAAAAAAAACCTTTTTCTGTTTTTGCTTGGCTTTTGTTTCAGCTCCTACCCAAGCAGTCTAGATGTTTCAGACCACGTACTAATGCCCCACACATCCCATATGTGAAAACAGATTTAGCACATTGATGTTAGATTCATTTTCTGTGTAACTTGTCCTGATGGTCAATAGAAAGCTTTCCTTTTGGGAGTGTAGTAGCAAAAGCAAAGTCAAGGACCATCAGTTCCCTGTGCCTGCTGTTCATGTGCCATGATGGATGTTGCCTGCTGGGGAAAAAACAAGGAGGAAAGAAAGTGTGTTAATTAGAAATCACAGGGTCAGAGCATTGCCCTACAGCACCAGGATCACTCTTCCAGCTCCAGAACTCTGGGAACAGTCAGATTTCCATGTTTGCTGAGGCACACCTTGCAGGTGACTGGATTTACCAGCAGGCTCTGTCTTACTGTCCCTGCTTCAACTGCTGAGTGCCCCAGGTAGAGAAAATTGCAGGGATTTGAAAGGGAGGTGGCAAAGGCAAGGAAAACCCAATCAAGTCCCACAGCTGAGGAGAGCAGCCCATCCTACTGGCTACTCTAACAGAAATAATCCCTGCAAATTTAAACAAACAGATGCCCAGCTGATCTATAACGAGTGGTGATTGACAGGTCTGCCTTCAGCACCTAAATAAAGGGTAGGGCTGGCACATACAACACACATACTACACTGCAAGCTCATAACTCTCAAGAACCATTCTGGAAAAGAGCTTAGGATTAGAAGAAAAATCCACTTTTCCTCCCCTCTCCCCATTTGATACTTCAGGTAATATGATGTCCTGATTAAAAGAGGAAGAGACAACAGGGTTTAGCAGCAGAGAGTATTAGATAACTTGATTGAATTAGTATTTTTTCCAGTGAAAAGTTACTGGATTTCATGTGGTGATGACAAATGTGTGAGTTGTAGCAGTAGTGAAAATGGCTATTAAATTGTTAAAGAAACAAGCATTTACCAAATTTACCATTAATTGAATGCCCAGGATAGTATGATAATTTTTTTTTCCCCAAAAGATGGGAGCTGTGTTTTCCCAATTATTTAGCTGAGCTCCTGTCAAGCTGCCAAAGAGCCAATCATTTCTCTGAGGAGGGTGACAGCAGCCCCTTTAGTGCGCTCAAGTTTAGCACCCACTAGGCAGCAAATCCTTTTGTCTGGGCAAAGGGCACGAGGCCCTTGTGCTCTTTCCCTCCTCAGAAAAAGCAGTTTCATTCTTACCCCTTCCTGAAACATTGGCCCTGGTTTGTCCCCAGGATGCTTGTTCCTCCTTACTAAGCTTTTTGGCCCAACCCCTAGCAGCCATCTGCTCCACCTGGACATTTTTGGCACCACACTCATATTCCATGGCCCTGTGGAAGTGGCAGTGAGGGGAAAAACCCAGAAAAGAGGGGAAAAAGACAGGAGGCAGCCAGGCAGTTACAGGCACACTCGATTTTCTCAGGTGACTTTGCTGGGCTGGGGGGGGTGTGGTGTGTTACTGGGCTGTGCTTAAAATGTGTCTGTGAACACTCAAGAGGGCTTGGCTTGGCTTGGATTACAACTTGCAGGCATCTGTGCTACTTGAAAAATGACAGCTGCCTTTTTAGAGTGTCAAAATCCGCTGCCTGAACGGAAAGGAAAGCACTCTGCAGACCACGGGTCTGCTCAGTAAAATTCTTTCTTCATTACACTGAAAGGAGCTCAGAAGCATCAGAACTCCTCTGAGTAGGCAAAGAGAGAGATCTGCTGGCTGGTGTTTTTTAGGGCAAGACTTGTGATAGTGTGTAAATTCACAGAACTGAAGGCAAGAAAGGACCCATAGCTGATTTAATCTTGCAGGCGACTGTCCACGTATTTTTCCCTCAATCCCTCTGTCACACCAGAAGCCTTTACTGGACCAGGATTACCCTCATGGGCGAGGGCTGGAAGGTCAGAATTTCCCCGAGCACACATGTGACAAGGAGCAGTGGCTGCCTGCCAGGGCTATTAATCTGTACTGGCATTCCTGTGCCCACAGGCTCAGAAAAGGTGTAGGATGTGGAGGTGAGAAACCACAGCCACAGAGGAGAGGTAGAGCTTGAATTTGCCGTGAAGGACGTCTGAAATCTGTTGGTATCTCCAACACGTTTGCTACCTCACCTTTCAGGAGCTGTTTGGGCATCCGGGATGCTGCCATATAAAGCCAGGGAGGCTTCTTCTTAGTGTGTTGATACCTATTTCTCTGTTTTCCAGAAAAAAGTGGAAGACCAGCCCAACAGGAGCCCCTCCATATGGCTGGCCATGTACAGTGCTTTTGGACGACCGATCCTGCTCAGCAGCACCTTCCGGTACTTGGCTGATCTGCTGGGCTTTGCTGGGCCACTGTGCATTTCTGGCATTGTCCAGGGCTTCCAGAACACAACCAACAACACAAACACCACAGAAAAGGTAACCTGACAGCAGGGATTGACAGGCTTGGCTAGTTTAGTTCTGGATTCATGAAGGGTATTTAATACACCTGGTTTTTATGATTGTCACTGTATTGTTTCGTGTTTTCTTCTGAGCAAATTGAGGTGTGGTTTTTTTTTGTGGGAGACAGTGAAGTTACAAACCAGAGTAGTGGAATGGAGCTCAGATAGTGGAGGCTTCCCCCAGTTCCACAGAATCACAGAATCATAGGTTACGCTGAGCTGGAAGGGACCCACAAGGATCATCCAGTCCAGCTCCTCGGCCCTCCACAGGACCATCCTCAAGAGTCACACCATGGGCCTGAGAGGATCATCCAAAACCTCCTTGAGCTCTGTCAGCCTTGGTGCTGTGCCCACTGCCCTGGGGAGCCTGTTCAGTGCCCAACCACCCTCTGGGGGAAGAACCTTTTCCCAATATCCAACCCAAACCTGCCCTGACACAGCTCCAGGCCATTCCCTCAGGTTTCCCAACTGTCTGCCTCTTGATGGAGTCATCCCAGTAGTTCTGGGGAGAAGAAGGAACGACTTTTCTGCTCCTCTTCAACTGTCCCTCTTTGCTCCAGGCAGGACAGCCACTGGTGGTGCCTCAGGGATCCATCCAGCAAGGATCAACCTGAGAATTTTGCTTAATTTCTGTCCATTTCTCAGTTTGCAGTTCACTGACAGGTTTGAGCTCTCTGAAATCTGTTTTTCACTGGGAAGCTGAGAGGAGTCAGTCCCTGTTTGTGACTGGTTATACTGCTGATTGCAGTGATGAAATGGGTTGGCACTCGTGAGAAATTGAAAAGCATTCACTTTATTCAATGACTCTCTTGATAGTAAAAATTCACTAAAGACACTGGGATACAGTTAATTTCAAGTTCCACTGAGACTGAACTTTCAGAGATCACCTCTAAGCACTGAACAAGCCTCTGATACAGAACATTTTCTAACATAAGAAAAAGAATTTATTTCATTAGAGAAAAATATATGTAAAGTTATTTTACTGACTGACAGCAGAGAAGAAATGAGGAAGAAATTTTCCTACACATGTCTCCTGATAACAGAGATCTCTCCATACACTTTATGAAGTCAGTAATTTGTATTTGAATAAGCAGACAGGTACGTAATGGAACAACATTTTCCCCTCCAGATAAAGTATTTGACCATCACCACTATCCAAATGTCTTTTTCTTGGCTGCTCCCTCCTGACATTCGTTTTCTTGACTGATGGTCTCAGTTTGGCTTTAGACTTTCATTGCTCTGAAGGAGAGTTTAATTGTGCAGCTTATCAAATAAAGCTCTTTGTCATCCTTGAACCTGCACATGCTGGACTTGAGCCACGAAGTCAGAAGGCAAAGTGCATGTTTTGCCTTCGAAAATGTTTTCTTTTTTTGCATGTTGAACAAATAAGGTATTTAAGCTTGAAAATAACCTCTGGATTTCAGAGTTAGGAATCTGTGTCTTTTCTGCTTCATTTATCTTCTTCACTCTTCAGTGCAGTGGTTTCAGTTGTGGGTTTCTCAAAGTTTTAATCAGCCCTGGCTAAAGGGAAGATTGGAGTCATTGGAAATCTTGAAACCCTTCCAAGGGTCTGGCTTGGTGACAGTCACTATTTCTCTTGGCCACATTTCAGAATACATTTGCCTTTAATTTATGGATTTTGATAAACTTTCTCTTGGTCTTTCTTCCTATTACCCATTTCTGCTTTAAATTCTCTCGAGTTTCAGTTAATGTGAACAAACTTAGTTTTATGCTTTTTCTGCCCTAATTCCTGAGTGCTCTACATACATTGAAGAAAAGGTATTTACAAATGTTATTTTATTATTGATAACTCCACTATGAAAACATGGGGAGGTTTGATGCATCAGAATGTGAAGGGTTTTAAAATATATTTATCTGACCAATCATGCACTTAAACAACTCTTGTTTCAAGGAGTCTGGGGAAAGCGGTTTGCTTTCCTATACTGCCCAAAATGTTCATCTCAGAATCAGGATGGGTATTTCAGTAAAACAGGCTTTTTCCTTCTTCTTCTTCTTCTTTTTTTAAATCTCCCTAAGAATTCCAGTACATCCTGCTTCCAGCTGGATCGGAAATACCAAAGGAACAGTCCCTCTTGCAGTATTTTGGTACATTTGTTTCCTTTACTGCCTTAAACAGAGCAGAACAGTGAACACAAAAGCTAGAAAATGAAAACAAATAAAGTGATTTAAACAAGATTTTTTTCTCTCCCCTCTTGAGGCATCAGAACCTCATTTTATGTGGATTACTGGCATTGTTTTATTCAGTATTCATAGGTATCCTAGACTTTAATTCTGGAAGGAATTGTTTCCATAGTATGCAAGATAAGTAATCCCATATAATAAAAAAATATTTCCTTTGTGGCACAAGTGGAATGAGCTTTATTTTGTACTGACTAGCATTTCTATGCTCCAAGTCACCAGAATTTGATGGAGAAACTAAAGGCAAGGCAGACATGGGGAACTTACTGTCACTTGCCAGCTAAAACCAGATCATTTTAGAACTGCTAGAAGTTGAGATCCTAAGTCTTTGAAACATGAGTGGAGTATTTAATTTTGTTATCTAGGACAGTGAGAAATCTGATTTTGATAACTTTCCCATAACACCATCAATATTTTTCATTTTAATGCAATGACTGAATTTCCTTGTTCCCAGTTTCTGAAGAAAACACAATCCCTCTGATGGTACTCAAATGGCTTTTTTCCTTTCTTTTAGGTGAAGGATCCATCCAACTCCTATCTTTCCTCGGAGGAATTCCTCAGGAACGTTTATGTTTTGGCAGTCCTTCTCTTCCTGGCCCTCATCTTGCAGAGGACGTTCCTGCAGGCATCCTACTACGTGACCACAGAAACCGGCATCAACCTGCGGGGTGCCTTGCTGGTGAGCAAAGACGTCCTGCCAAAAAAATTCCCTGAACAGCAGCTTCAGCTTTGTGCTTCCATCTCATTTGTCTCGTTCTTTATCTGAGGGCTGAGCTAATGATGGTTTGGGAGAAGACACAGGCTGTGTTTCTGGGCTTTGTTTACCCAGAAAACTGGGCAAAGCAGCATCGCCGACGCAGCCAAACGGTTGGCAGCGATTCTTTCTGCTAAAAAAACTAACCTGTAGAAGTTTAACACTCACTGTGTGCTTGTAAGAACACATCTTTGCAGATGAGGAAGGATATAAGCAGCGTCATTTCAGCCCTGCATCTGCTTTGCTCGTTCCCTTACGAGTTTGCCCTTGCTGGCTGTGAACAGAGTCATCTGCAAAGCATCTTCGTTTTGTGGGAACCTTGTCCGTGTGCCCTGAGTGGTGATGCTGGATATTTATGCCCTTTTGCACAGAGCCCTGTGGGATGGGGTGGGAGTGATTCATCTGCAGAGCTGTGTCTGCAAACCCAGCATCCATTAACCCCCTGTGACAGTTGTGTTTATGGACTGAGGCCAGCAGCTCCGGCTCAGCACGTGGGTGGGTTGTAGCAGGGCTCTCCCAGACCAAACTCCACAGGCAGCAGTAGCAGGAACTGATGTTTTGCCAGATGTAACTAACCATGGGAATATCAGCTCAGAGTGGAAGCTGCTGCTTTTCTGCTCACTGGGACTGTTGTAGCTGCTTCAAACGTTTTCTGCCTTCTCCCAGGATAAGATGCAGGTACAGACTTGGAGAAGAAAGAGTGCCTGGTTATTTCCTCATGTTTTTGTCACTCCCACTTGCCAAAATGGGGACTCTTAGGAGCATATTAGCTCAGTTGGTGCTAATAACATCACAGCTGTTGGATCAATCCTGTACAGGTCATTCACTTTAGAGTTGGACTTGACGATCCTTGTGGGTCCCTTCCAACTCAGAATATTCTGTGATATGAAGCTGATGTAATTCACCACAGCCTGTAGACATCTCTGATTAATTCTACAGTATCTACATTGGACAAAACAGGTCGAAGAGGACAAATTATTTAGAAAAAACTTCCTTGGAGCTGCAGTGATTGATATTTGGTCACCACTGTGAATTGGGCTAACAATATTTGTCTTTAAAAGTCCAGTAGATATAAACCCTGATTAATTCAAAACCCTGTTAAGCTCCTACAAATTTTGTGGAAAGAGGTGGCCAGGTAAAGGAGAGAAAGCCAAAGGAATCCATACCCCCCCAATCAAAACTTCACAGCGTAAGTTTAACAATCTTTTCAGGCACAAGGGTCTCTTTGAGAGAGAGAGAGAGTGTCACAGAAAAGCAGGCTCACCAAATGTTTATTATAAAAATATCTTTGGCCAGTCTCCTAAATTTTGAATGCTTTGTTGCCGTTTTGTTCTATTTTAGGTCTGCATTAAGCAACAAATCTTTTGAGAGGAATTGGAGCTTTTTGAAGCCAGTTCTCTCTCTCTGTGCTTTCTCTCCCTCTGTCTCCATCTGTCTCTGTCCCAGGTGAGAGACTGGGAGAAGGGCTGTCTTAGGCCAAGGCTGATGCTGCAGTTTGAACCATCCTGCTGCCAGAATTGTTTCATAACTACACCATTTTATTATCTTCCATTTTATTCCTCTCCTACAGGCAATGATATACAATAAGATCCTGAGGCTTTCCACGTCCAACTTGTCCATGGGAGAGATGACGCTGGGACAGATCAACAACTTGGTTGCCATAGAAACAAACCAGCTGATGTGGTTCTTGTTCCTGTGCCCCAATCTGTGGGCAATGCCTGTTCAGGTAGAGCATCAAAGAAAGGACCTCATTTCAGGGATCCTTCAACCTGGTTGGGAAGGGTCTGTGAGACTGCTACAAAACCCAGAGGGGAACGTGGTCTTCATGCTCATTTCCCAAGAAGACAAATAAGCAGGAATGTGGCCCACTGCTTTTATTTCTGCCACATGGCAGCAGCACAGGCATCTGACAGGGCTCATTATTGCTCTTTGCAGTGTCCTCTTGTAGCTGAGTTTTGTGGCAGGAGCAAAAAGCAATTGCATCCTTCTCCGTGACCGCCAGCAGCACTGACGGTGCTCAGAGGAGCTCCCCTCTAAAAAACCTTAGTTACTGTACACATCTGGACCTTAAAAAGGCTGGGAAAGAACCACAGGCAGACCTGTGGGAAGGAAAGGTTAAAATTATCAGTCTGAAAGAAATCTTCAAAAGTGCCAATTGCCTTAATGAACTAAGACATGCTGGTTTTCCACGAAGCTTGGACTCCTGTAGCATCCTCAGAATTTTAGCTTGGGGTGGGTTTGGCATTGTCCTTACCTGTTGGTGTTCCCACTGACATTAAAGAATTTTAAAAAGAGATAGAAGCAACTCTTATTATAAGTATTTTATATTTTTTTTAATACCTCGATTGACTATTTTTTAGGGGAAAAAAAGGAGTTGGAAGAAACTAAGCTGTGTTTCCTATGAATGCTTTTCCACTCTGGAAAATGTGTTAGGACTGTTTTGCTTATAGCAAATACTGAACTTATATCCATCCGGTGTGATCAGATTTAGCCATACCCTGGTGAAGATCAGGGTGAATCCTAGAAAATACATTGCTCATCCACCAATTATGGCCTGATATCCTGGGCAAACACTCCTTGCAGAATCAGGGCCCAAGTAAGGGCTTCAGTTTACACCATGTGCAAATTGCTGCCTGCAACCTTTTATTATTCCCTGAGAAAACGGCCTCTGGGTATGAGAACTTGCAGCACAGAAGCCTGAAAAGCTGAATATTGCTTTGAAAATGTTAAACTTGCATTGATTCTTACTTCTGATTGGGTAATAAGAAGGGAGGTTTAAAGGCAGAACTGACTTGTTTAAGAGATAAAAATATGAGATAGGCAACTAGTTCTGTATGCCTCTAGTAAAAATACTTCAGTAGTAGAGCTTGTATTAACTGAGGAGCCAGAATCCCAGTAGTTGCATCACAACCATTCCCAGGTAACCTTTGTGGGAAGTGTCCCCACACTCTTTGGGCTAAGGCAGTGTGTTGGTGTTTTCCTACAGATGGTATCGATGAACAAGCTCAGGTTGTGTCACTTCCAGCACATCTGCTTCATGCTTCAGTGCCTGTTTGAGATGGAGGACCACTATGAGACAATGCAAATGTGATCCAAGGCAGCCCTAAGAACCTCTGAATGCTCCCAGAGTGATGTAAGGAGCTCTAGTGTAAATAAGACTGGAGGCCAGCAACTCTCTGAAATGCCTCGGGGCAGGCACCATCATTTTAGTGCTCCTTCAGCTCTGTGGAAACCCAGCCTGGATTAGAACTACCAGGCAGTAACACAAACTATTTAGTTAATGTCAAAAATAAAGGCTTCTGGGTTTATTTCCCACACTTTCCAAACGTGACCTTCTGAAGTGTGTGCTCAGCCCATTCCTAGGAACCATTTAAGTGTTTATTAGAAGAACAAATATTTTTCTTCTTGGTACTGTTCTGGCATATTGAAATCTACTTTTTTTTTCCCACCCTATGTTGTTGTTGTTTCTTTTTTTCTTGACAGATAATAATGGGTGTGATCCTACTCTACAACTTGCTGGGAGTGAGTGCCTTGGTCGGTGCTGCAGTCATCGTGCTCTTAGCTCCAATGCAGTATTTCATAGCTACAAAGTTGGCTGAGGCTCAGAAAAGCACCCTTGTAAGTAAATTATTTCAGTGGCATCTGTGGTCCAGGAATGAGAATACTGAGGCATCAGGGTTTCTGGGTTCTGTTCCTGGAGTTAGTGAACATCCCTTAGTCCCATCTTCCTCTGTGGCTCAGTGTCTCTTCCTTCCTCACCTTTGTCAGAGGGGATTCCCAAAAAAAGTAGGTGGGCCTTGACCTGCCTGCTCTGCAAAGAGCATTTTTAACCCAACTAGGACAATTTTGCCTGAATTCAGCTCCACAGAAGGGTGTTATTCCCACACTCAGACGTTGTATTTCATAGGATGTCAGCAAAGAGTACAAATGACCGATAAATTATAGCAGGAAATATTAAAGAATGTGCACAACAGACTTTTTGCTCTCACCCCAAGCTTTGGTATTCTCTACAAATCAGCTGGCACTGCTGCATTAATATCTATTTTGCATTCTTCAGGGCTGCAAGTTTGTTTTGCTGTCTAATTTAATTCACCAGTTGGAAATGTTTTCTGGGACTTTGTCTAATTTTTAACTTTATTGTCGTGAACCTTGAACTTTTTAAGTCAACTTTTGATGTTTAAGTTGTCAAATATTTAGAGATCCTTTTTATTTTAATATTCAGTGACCAAATTATACACACATGGATCCAGTCTCCATCAGGCTTCAATCCTGTTGAGTTGTGCCAATTTGTACAATCTGTACAAACTGCACATAGGATTTATCTTTACATGATTTCAGAAATAGTCTGAATCTTTCTTATTGCTCTTTTCTGACTTCCCCTGATTCATAACAGCTTTTGGATTATGATTTTTCCAAAATGTATGATTTTACCAGACCTTATGGTTACTGCTCTCTGCTGAGGGGCAATTAGCTAAATATATCAATAAATAATTCATCTATTTTCATGACTGGTCTGTTTGGATCCCAGTATAAATCTTGTGTAGCAAATACACACATTTAGTCTTCTATCTGTTGCTATGGACACTGCTGGCACACTAATCCCCCTCCCTGAGCTTCACCCACTGTTTGAAGGGTTGGGATGCTTCGGGTCATTTTGCTTTGCAGAACAGGGTCACTTAATTTCCTCTCATGGCTGTAACCATTTTAATATCATCTCCAAAGAACCTGGAATTTTGTATTATTTTTCTAAGTATGGCCCCTGCACAAAATCACGAACAAACAAAATTGTGCATTTTTAATGAATTTTCCAAGAGAAATGAAGGGAAAAGAACATTCCCATTAAGACTACAGACTCATTACCAATTTCTTATCCTGGTTTTCTTTTGAAATGAAGGACTATTCTACTGAGAGATTAAAGAAAACCAACGAGATCCTAAAAGGCATTAAGCTGTTAAAGCTGTATGCCTGGGAGCACATATTCTGTAAGAGCGTGGAGGAAACGAGGATGAAGGAACTCACCAGTCTCAAAACCTTTGCACTTCATACGTCCCTTTCTAGTAAGTGACTTTATTTTTACTGCTTGGAGATGGATCCTGTTCTTCAGGATCTTCAGGATGTCAGCATTCCTCCTGACTTCAGCTAAAGCAAAACCCAGCTGTGCCTGTGACACTTTTTTTGGGGAGTGTAATGTGATTAAAATAAAAAGTAATGAGATATATATATATATATATATAAGACAGAAGCTTGAAAAGATAGAGTATGTCTTGTTGATTTATTTTTGTAGTGAGTTTTCTGCTACCTTCATTATGACATTACACATTAGCAGCTCTGATTGCAGCAAAGACAAGTCAGTGTCTGAAAGAAAGTGTGTTTTGTGTAATGGAGAAGAGTTGAGAGGGTACTGTTTTAGTTGTGTTGCATAATATTTGTGCACATAATAATTCTTCTCTGAGTTTACTGGAATATACAGATGAGAGAATTCCCTGGCTCATTTGCTGGTGTGTTTAAGATCTCTGACTACCATGGAAGGAAGTTTCTTCCTGCAGAGTAATTTTCCTTTGGGAGTTTTAATGGCTTGAGTTGGAAATCCAAGAAACTGGATTCTTCTGGTGTCACACACTTACTGTAAAATTGTGGGTTTTTTCTTATTTCATATAATCTGATACCTATTTTGTTTTTCCTTCCCAGTTTTTATGAATGCAGCCATACCAATAGCAGCTGTTCTTGCAGTAAGATATGGGGTTTTAATTTTTAAACTTTTCCTTATAAAAGGTGGAGAAAAGGAGGGAGGGGGTGTGTAGAAAAAAAAGAATGGACACCATTGTTATTGTAGCACCTATTCCTCATAAAGCCAGAAGGTGAGTTAATGAGCCCCTGTTAACTGGAGGAGAGTATGACACTGGGAGTGTGCATTCCCAGAGTGTGGATTGGTAAAACCAAAAAGAAATATTATTTTTTTTACCATCAGAAAGAAAGAAAGAAAGAAAGAAAGAAAAAATCATTACAATTTGAAAGGTGACCCCTTTTGAAAAGCTCTTTTTCTGAAGGGATTTTGGGTGGCTTTGCTTGTCTCTTCAGCATTAAGTGCATTATAAGCCAACATTTCAGTTTTCAAGAAAGGGCACTCTGCTGTTTAAGGAGGAATAAGTGCCTGTGCTCTGGCCAGGTTTAAATCTGAACCTCAAGCACTAGAGGAGCTGTGGCATGCCAGGGAGTGTGGGGTTTTCACAGACCACATTTTGAGGGCGTTACTGAGAGTATGGTGAGAGTGGGTATCAGAATTGGTAGAAACATACCCACAAGATTTGCTAGATTCTCACTGATCTTTCTGAGTTATGTGTTTCCTCTAAAGCCTGAAGCCAACTACAAAGCTAGATGGAACAATGAAAAGTTTCCTCATTCTTAAATGTGTAAACCTCCTGAAACTGTGGGCAAGGTTAAAAATTTAAACTGAGGTGCATGTATAGCCGAGAAAAATATTCTGCTTGCTATCCTTGCCCCTGTTTTTGGAGAGCCCTTGTCCTGACCTGCTGTTTCCCTGGTGTGACAGACCTTTGTGACCTATGCCTACACCAACGACAAGCCCCTGCAGCCTGCCCAGGCCTTCGCATCCCTGTCCCTGTTCCACATCCTGGTCACTCCCCTCTTCCTGCTCTCCACCGTGGTTCGGTTTGCAGTCAAGGCTATCGTAAGGTGAGTGGCCCTTCTGCTTTCACCAGCTCCTTGGCACCTAGTTCAGTAATAAGGAGTTAAGATGTGGGACTCAGGTGTTCAAAGATGTGAGAGAAATCAGAGTAAGCAGTTCATTTTACTGGATGATACGAAGAAACGGCACAGGAAAGGCGTTGATCTGTTGGAATGAGTCCGGAGGAGACCACCCAGGTGGTCAGAGGGATGGAGCACCTCTGATATGGGGAAGGGCTGAGGGAGTTGGGATTGTTTGGCCTGGAGAAGAGAAGGATTTGGAGTGACCTAATTGTGGCCTTCCAGGACCTGGAGGGAGCCCGCAGGAAAAATGGGGAGAAACTATTTCAAGGGTCTGAGGTGACAGGACAAGGGAGAATGGCTTCAAGTTGTCAGAGAGGAGGCTTAAATTGGATATTGGGAAGGAATTCCTCCCTGTGAGGGTGGGAATGCCCTGGCACAGGTTGCCCAGAGAAGCTGTGGCTGCCCCATCCCTGGCAGTGTCCAAGGCCAGGTTGGACGGGGCTCTGAGCAACCTGGGATAGTGGAAGGTGTCCCTGCCCATGGCAGGGGGTTAAAATGAGATGCTCTTTAAGGTCACTTCCAAACCAGGCCATTCTCTGATTCTGTGATTATAAATGATCCATTCTTTCTATGATTTCACTGCCTTTGGCAGTTCAGACTCAGAGCTGCACTGTCCTTCCTTGGGCAATGCTCCTCTGCTCACAGTGTGGCCACTCATTATCACTCTCATTTAGAACTTTCTGGGCTCTTGTCACTACAGAGAGACTGGTGTGAAGCTCTGTAGCAAGACTGGCCCTGCTGAAGCCAGAAAGAGAGACTTTACCTCCACAAAGGGTGCACTGGGCTTTCAGTGAGAATTTGGCAATGTCCTGGCTGACGTGTTCCAGGCACTTTATTTCTGCAAAATAGCCCAACAGAACAGCTTCCTTCATGCTGGGCTATAAAGCACTTGATCTCGAGGGAGCTGGTTGGTAGGAAGTCAAATTTCAGGCTTTTGGCTGCTGTGCCAGTGGCCTGCACGGACAGAGTCACGGTCACAGGGCAGTTTGCAGACCTACACACTGCCAGGATGTCCCAGGAGGCACAAACTGGCACCTGACTGGCAGCAGTGTGTCCGATGCCAAGCACTTGCAGGATGTGAGGACAGAACTAACCTTCCCACCCAGAAGCATCACTCCCTCATGCCCAGACTGAGGGAGGTGTTGCATTGCTGATGTCACTGCCTCTCTTTGGTGGGTAACCATAATGACAAATAGCAGTCAAAGGGACTTCAGGCTCCCCAGCTGTCCTTTGCCAGCACCACACTGACTTCAAAAAACAAAAATAATTAAAGAGGGTTTATTTTTGTCAAAGCAGCAGCAGGGCCACATGAGACATTTTCCCTAGGTTGAAAAGGATTTCTGAGTACTGGAAAATCTCAAGGCTCCTCTATAAATCATCCAAGCCTCTACATCTCTGTACTATGTTTAGCAGAGCCCTAATATCAAAATGGTGTGTACATTTTCCTTAACACTGCTGGCCACTCCTCAGGACACTATTTAGGGACCATATTTGCCAAAACAAACTGTATCCTTTGGCAAACTCATTTCCTAACATCTTTCTCCCATGAACATCATGTCCCCCAAGCGAAGAATGAAAAATGTGTGCCTGGCCACTCCGTGGCTCTGTCCTCAATCAGATACATAGATGAGTGTCTGCTCATTTGTTTTATGATTAAGTGCTTATGCTTTGGTCAGAATTTCAGTTTTATATTCAAGAGTAGTTCTAGTGCCTTGAAAACTTTTGAGGGTACTTCATTTAAATTTGAAGAAAGGGGTTGATGTTTCCTTGGGCTCATGATCAGAGCAAGGTCTCTGATATTCCACAAAAAAATAAGTTCTTGCTTGGTGCCCTTTATGAAGAATGAAATTCTGACATGGGGGTTAGAGACATGAATTTTCCTTCCAAAAGAGGAGGTAGAAACAGGAACACTGCCAGGAGGAAATAATGACAAGTAGCAGTGCTTTCTCCCCAACCTGCATCTCTGTGGCTCGAACGTGTGTTGATAATTTATCATGAAATGTGCAGGTGGACCTTGAGACAGGACCACTTTCCCATTTGCAGATCAGTGTTCAAATCACTGATCTGAAGGCATATGTCCTCCTGCTTTCCCGGTCTCTGGCCCAATACACTTTGATTTTGGTTTTTGCAAAGTCACAGAGCTGCGCTGTGATCAATGAGTGGCTTTGTTCCATCCCTGCAGAAGCTGTGTCAGGAAGCACCTACTGCACTGGCATTTCCAGAGGTTGTAGGTGGGTGGATGACTCATTTTTACACCCTGACTGTGTGTAGTCATGAGAAAGGCCCAGAAGAGATTGAAACCATTCCCACAGAGCTCCCTTGGCACCCACATGACCAGCCCTGCTCTTCATTCCCAGCTACCAGAGCGATGTTTGATTATTTTCATCTGTCCTTCTTCCACACACATAAATTTTCATTTGCCATCAGAGTGGCAGATAGTCTGAGAGGAAAGTGAAAGTGTCCCAGGAACTTCTTTTGGAACATTTCTGATAAACGCTGCTGCACAAAAATGGGATTACACTCATGGAAACCTGGGATTGTGCAACTCACTGTCCTGTTTTCTTTCAAGTGTCCAGAAGCTGAATGAGTTTCTCCTGAGTGATGAGATTGGAGACGACAGCTGGAGAGGGGGGGACAGCTCTGTACCTTATGAATCCTGTAAGAAGCACACAGGACTTGTAAGTTCTGGTTTATGACACCAAATTTCAAAGCCCTGTAGCCCCATGCAAGACCAGTGGCTGAGCTGATAAATCTCGGGAGTTTTGGCTTCTAGCCTGACTAATATTGACCAATTTTGTCTCTTCTATGTCTTAATCTCTGTGTTTCTATGATATAAAGGGTCTCCAAACACATATAAGCGTTGCTGAAGTACCAGTAATAATAAAAATCCCACAACACACCAAGACATTTGCTCATGGTTCAAATTAATGCTCCTCAGTTTTTATAAAAGCCCCAAGTGGATTCCCTGTGGTTATGGGCTTTGTGCTGTTTATTCCCACTACATCCCATTGTGTCTTGGGCATGCTTAGATAGGAGCAATTCCTGCTCTGGGAAATTCATAACTGGAGGTGGGAAAAACCACGCCAAACTTTGTGAAATAGCAATTAAATCCAAAATGCAGTTTCTGGAGTGCTAAACATACAGTGAATTTGAGTAAAATTTGAGAACAGAAAAAAACAAAACAATGGAGATGATTTGGGAAAAGGTTGTTTGTTTGTTTGTTTGGGTTTTTTTCTTTCATTTTGACATTTTAAAAAAAGCCAGATATTTCAGGTCTTTCAAACTGATTATACAAGTTGAAATGTGACTGAATCTTGAAGACAGCAACAGAAAGAAAGGACTAGCACAAAGATAAGTTTGACTTTGAACTGAATTAAATTATTTTGCCAACTTGAACAGCATTTCTTGTTTCTCTAGACAGACAAAGTCTAGATAGATGATGGGGAAAGGGAAAAATGAAGGCAGTGTCTGTAAAAGTTAAATCAATAATGAAATATAGTCCAGCTGTAAGGAATCACTAAGATTATGTTGATTTAGCTCGATACAGAGGTGCTTACAAATAACCACAGGTAGCTCCGAATAGAGCTGGCTCCAAAATCACAATTATCCCTCAGGAAGGTGCTCTGCACAAGCTAAACTGACCTGCTTCCCACTCCTGCAGCTATTCTGCTTCCAAGAACTAACTGGTAACTCAGCACGTCATCACACTTTTAGTGACACAGCTTTGCTTGGAGCTGCCTCAGGTAGGGCAGAGGAGGGTGAGAGGGGAAATTTGGGGTGGTTTTGCATGGGAAACAACAAAAAAATCAGGTATTTTCTGTGCTTCAGTTAGAAGTGTTTAAAGCATTACACTGTGTGCATGACAGCAGGGTCTCTTTATTATCACACACTGGCTTCTTGTTTTGAACTGGTATCAGTGGTAAGAAAGGGATTTACAGGGAACCAAATGCTGTCTTCTCCTGAGGATTCCAACTTTTCCCCTGTGTTCACTTCCCTGTGCAGCACACCAAGGCCATCAACAGGAGGCAGCCCTTGAGGTACCAGCTTGAAGGCTATGAGCAGCCAGCAAGGAAGCAGACACGACCCGTGGAGATTGATGACATTGCCATCAAGGTGGTTTGAAAACATCCTCTTGTTCTTCATGAGGAGCAGCTCCTCCTGAAACAGCCCCTGATAGTGCCCAGTTGCTGCTGCTATTTCAGATTTTCCCCTGTATGTGTCAGCACTTTAGCCAGAAGTGCAGTGAGAAGATTTAGCTTCAGGCCAGGACTTTATAGTGATCCCTGTCATGAATATAAAGGAGAAGAGCTTAGAATATCTGACGGGCAGGAATTAACAGAGGTTGATCAACCTGTCCTTTCTTACAGTTCTCATTCAATCTTAGAATAAAGATCAAAACTTCTGAGTTGACACCGACCTGTTGGAGGCTTCCACAGTGATTAAAGGGATGGAAATATGAGGAAAGGCTGAGTGAGTTGGGAATGTTCAGCCTGGAGAAGAGAAGCTTTGGGGTGACCTAATTGTGGCCTTCCAGGACCTGAAGGGAGCACACAGGAAAGATGGAGAGAGACTATTTCCAAGGGCCTGGAATGACAGGACAAGGGGGAATGGCTTCAAACTGACAGAGAGCAGGTTTAGGTTGGATATTAGGATGAAATTCTGCCCTATGAGGGTGGGGAGGCCCTGGCACAGGTTGCCCAGAGAAGCTGTGGCTGCCCCATCCTTAGAAGTGTCCAGGGCCAAGTTGGATGGGGCTCTGAGCAACCTTGCATAGCAGAAGGTGTCCCTGCCCATGGCAGAGGGGTTGGAACGAGAGGATCTTTAATGTCCCTTCCAACCCAAGTCATTCTATGATTATTTGATCCATATTATGACCTGTCATTTATTATGATATTATTTTATGTTATGTTTACCATGTGTCCCCACTCAGTGTGCTCTGTACAAAGAATGCCTCTTTAGTCTTGTATTTGACAGAGTGAAAGTATTTAGTAGAGTTCAATTCCAGATTATCCCCTTATTTCATTCTATACAATATATATATTTGTGTATGTATCTTTTCTTATTCACAAGCTTTTCTGGCTTTGGCAATCTTTAAAAACCTGACTTGTTGATTTTTTGTTTGATTTGTTGTTTTGTGTGTGTGTGTGTATGTGTGTACAACTTATTTAAGTGACATAATTTAAATTCAAACCAGCCATTCTATTTTTCCCCCTGTGTGTTTATATATGTGACATGTGGTAATTGTTTTGTAGGTGACCAATGGATACTTTTCATGGGGAAGTGGCTTAGCTACGCTGTCCAACATAAACATTAGAATCCCAACAGGTAGGACAAAAGCACACCTTAGACATGAAACACGTGATGTCAAACTGTTATTACTAATTCCTTTTCTTGCTGTTGTGAAAAGCACAAAAGTACACCTTTAGATTTTTATAAGAAAAAAATGAAAGTTAAAAAATGTATACAAAGCCATGACCTGTATTGGTCATATAGCAATAGCATTAGATAAATTATGTGGAGGTTTACATACCTTTATACAGTTTTGATAAGAGTACAAACAAAGTCAAGAGTAAAAATAAATACGAAAAAGATGGTTGCAAAAATTCATTAATATTTTTAATAGGGAAATTAAAAAAAAAGAAAGAGACAGAACTCCAGACTTGTTCAAACCAAGGGTGAATTTATTCAGTATCTTATTTCCACCAGTTGGTGCCCAGGGACACAGCTCTCATGTCTTGCACTTTTCCTGCCATTCATCCACATAATAGTCTCCCAGTTCACAACTATTTTCATCTCAGAAAATGCAGCTTTTCTGTCAAGAAAACCTCAATTATTTCCTCTTTCAATTAATTTGTCCTTGTCAAGCTGAGTTCCTGTAATTCCTTGAATCCTCAGTGTCTTTTGCCTTTGGGTTCCACAGGCAAAAACCTGTGGAATAAAAAAACCACAAAATAGTGGTTTGTTTTGGAAAACTTACATAGCAAGTGTGACAAGTAACAACTACTGTTTTCTACTATTATTGTTATTAATGATAATAATAATGGTACTGCTAATAATAATAATAACATGAAATACCTAACACTATTGGTACTTGATGCTATTAAGTAGCCTTATATTTTATTTTTATGGCCTATCAAGTGCTTAGTTTTAAAATAGACTATTGCTTTAGGCTGATGCCACATGGCTGTTTGAGCAATCCCCAAGTCTGTATCATTTGTTTCCATGCAGCAGTAAATGGAACAGTCAGGGGTGAACACTCCTTTGTGCTGGCCCAGTGCCACATCCAGCACCAGTAGAATGCCTTTGCTGCAAGGAATTTAAAGTCTAAGGCCAGGGCTTCCACAAGCTGGGTGAGCTAGAGTTTACCTCCTTTGGAAGGAGTAAGACCCTTATATTCCAAGCTGGAGAGAGATATGGAAAATTTCCAACACCTGAAGGGAACCCACAAGAAAGACGGAGGAAGGAAGGCCATTTATAAGGGCCTGGAGTGACAGGACAAGGGGGAATGGCTTCACAGTGACAAAGAACAGGTTTAGGCTGGATATCAGGAAGAAATTCCACCCTGAGAGGGTGGGGAGGCCCTGGCACAGATTGCCCAGAGAAGCTGTGGCTGCCCCATCCCTGGAAGTGCTAACAAATTTAACCAACTAGTTCAGAAACGCTCCACACCTGGATCTAGTTGCACCTCATCGACTTTCCTCTTTTGAAGATGTGTTCTTTTGCTGTTTTTCTTATTATCATAGGTCAGATGACAATGATTGTGGGTCAAGTTGGCTGTGGCAAGTCCTCCCTTCTCCTTGCTATATTGGGCGAGATGCAGACGCTGGAGGGAAAAGTTCACTGGAGCAAGTATGTTTGTATAGCTTTTAATTGCTGTGTTTAAGGAGGAGGAGGTTGAGGTTTACTGTGAGAAATGTAAACTTCGTGCCTCAGAACTGCATGTTGAGTGATTATCATCACCCAGATCCTCTCTGGAATGCATCACCTGCAAACTTAAGAAGGGTTTTCGCTGTTGTTTGTCACGGTTCAGAGCAGGCAGAGCAGACTAAGGAAGGGGAAAAGGAATAGTCTGGCAATTAATATCTAATATATTAGCCTAGCAAATGACCTGAATAGAAATTCAGATCATCAAAGAGGCATGTATTTCTCACTCAGAGGTGCTGCTGCTGGCAGAAAAAAAAAAAAGTGATACGATAACACGTATTACTGCTTTTCTCCTTCCCTGGTACAGGATCAAGCCTCACCTGTGGAAGTCTCTGTTACTCTTTACAGTAACCCCAAAACTTGTTCTTTGATTTTAAAGATCAGCTCTGTTTCCTTGAAACTGCCAAGCCAAACTCCTCTCCATTAACTTTTGGCTGAGGAAGAGGGAATTTTGTCACAGAGGCCAATGTTTTGTTGCCCCATCCCTTGACTGGTAACCTCCTTCATCATATTTTTCTTAGAGCAGTGTTGAAAGCTGGATGTTTTCTGCTTTTCCTGTGCTAATATCCATGGTATTTTTTGCTCTCCAGCTATATTTCACTTTGTGCTATTCTAAACATATGATCTCACTGGAGTAGCAGGTACAGTTGGAGCCAGGATAAGACTAACTTTGAGTTTAAGCTTTAAAGGAAGAAGAATATGTGATTTACCACAGTTAATTTCTTGGAGACACGTAATGAAGGTTTTTACATCCCAGTCAGGCATTGTTTTTCTGAGTAGTTTGAAAAAAATACCAGGGGTAAGTAAAGGTGTACCTTGAAATGATTCTCACACTTGTTTTCAAAGATATAGTTGAGAAAGATTTGGATTTTTTGTAGATAAAGATATGAAACCTGAGGGAGATTAGAGAAGTGAGACATCCTAGAAACACACTAGAGACATTTTATTAAATGTTTCATAGTTATGAACGATGAGCAACAATAAAAATGAAAATTTCACATTGTCCAGGGGATAGGATCGTGCTGTCAGCCGGTTGTCTGTGCATCACCAAACAGCTCAGGTTTCAGGAAGCACCTCAGGCTTTACTTTTCATTGCACACTTTAACTGGTACCGTGACGTAGCTGATGCAAACGTGGTTATGTTTTGCTGGTAATTTCAGACTGCCTGGCAGACAGATGAATACAGAAGGATACTTCAGGTATTTAACCAAGTGGATCCTCTGTTTTGCAAAACCATAATGGAGGTCCTATTTACTCTCTTCAATCCCTTCCCATGTGCTTCTACGTGCATGACTAACGCAGCTACTGATCCAGGGGTGGAATGCAGGGAATTCCCCCACAAATTCAGGCACAACAACAAAATAACAGTAATAAAGGATAAGATCTCAGCCCCGGTTGTGCTGGGGCGATCTTGCAATGCAGCACTGGGATCTGAACACCCTGTTGCTGTGGATGGGGACTGCAGTAAGAGCTGCATGTCCTGCTGCCAGGGTTGTCACTGGTTTGGCATCTTAGGGAAATAAAAGCACTTTAGCGCATCTTTCTGTAAAAGATCTTGGCCAGGGCAAGACTTATGGGCCAGATCTCAGTTCTTGCCACTTATGTGAGCCGTGTCTCAGTTATGTTACAAACCTTAGACACACAAAAAAACAGCTCTTTGTCTAAGGTTTGTAGCACATCTGAGGCTGTCTGGATGCAGTGACTGAGCTGAGCTTGTTTCAGATCTGAATTATTAATATGAAATCTACACTAGGACAGTTGTGGGGATTATGCAGAGACAGGTATTCCCCTCATCCACACCAAGCCAAACAGCCAGAACCATCTTCTCAGACTGCCAAGCAGAGAGTAGCTAAAGTGGAAATCCCTCCCTTACTACACATTTTCTGTGCACTGGACTGGTTTCTGTGCAAACAGGTTGTTGTATTCTGAGTGAAAAGGTCGGGAAGCACGAGAACCATTAAACAGATCCTCACAAGTGGCCTGTTCTGTCCTCAGGTGTCAAAAGGGATACAAGATAAGTTGGGAAAAGGCAATGCTCCCCTCAGGTTGCAGTCACAGTAAGAGCAGCTCACCGAAACCACATTGTGGGCACTGGAGGGATAAATTATCAGATAAATGATCCTTTGGCCAAAATCAGCATAACTACCCTGTGCTGCTGTGGCTGGTTGCAGGGACAGGACTAAATTCCTCTGAACTCCTGCTTAAAATTCGTGTAGATGCTCAGTCCTCATCTTGCCTCAAATTTCTTGCCTTTATTAGCAGAGGAAGTAGTTCATTCTGTTGTCACAGTGGTATCCCAGAGATTTTGTATCCCTTCATTCTCCTCCCTTTTTACTTTGTAGGCTGAGGGGATCACAGCCTGGTTAGAGATGATTCAGTCTATTTTAAATCATTCACTATAAAAGCGTAACCAAACTTCAAGGTCTTCTATGTGTTCGTTCATGGGATTATTGGTGTGTGGGTTCTCATAGAAATCTCACTCATAATTTGGGAGAATTAAAGTGTATTTGTCAAGCTAAGCATGGAATGACATTTCTAACCAAAGAAGTGTTCAAGTAACTAAGATTCAGAAATTAGTCCTTGCTCATTCAGATAATCTGTTTGATTCCAGTGGCAACCATATTAAATCTGGTATTGACTTGCAAGGGGTCCTGCAAGACTTGTGCCCAGTTTTTGTTAAACTGTAGTTCGGAGGGCACTCCCAAATGTGTACATGAAAGCACTATCTCTTTCTCTACCACTGCTATGCCCTGCTGATAAAAGTTTGGGGGCTTTGAATGGAGCAAATTGAGGTTTTTTTTTTGTTGGGCTTGACCTAATTTCCAACCCCTTTTCAATCTCTTGTTACACTACAGCTTTTGCTTTCTTGTAACTTTATTCCACTGCAGAGAAGATCGAAAGCTTCTGTTGAGTACGAGACCAGTTCTAGTGAAGTGATGTCTCTTTTGAGCCTCAATTTGTGGCTCCCTGACACTTCTGAGAGAACCAGCAGGACTTGCTCCTCTCCAATGCAGTATCTTTTCTGACAATTGATGCACAAAGGAAAGACAGACTGTGCACTTTGGGAGGTTTGAATGATCAAAGTCCTCAGAGTGCTGCTGGGTCACAGGTCTGGAATTCTGGGAAGATGCTTAATACATGAGCCTGGCATTACAAGGACACTGCTATTAGAATTTTCTAGGCTTGGATATTCTCCTTATGAGTGCAGCTACATTTACTGGTATCCCAGCAGTCAAGAAGACATTTCTGCCTGAGCAGTGAAACATTTCATCTGGAGGATTCATAGGCCTGAGAGAGGAGGAGAATTTTGTTCATGGTTTTGGTGGTGTTTTTTTAAGTCAGGAAAATAATACATTAATATCAGTTTTCCAGTCCCTTCCAATGCCTGTTTCTATTTACCTGGCATAAAGTTACTCTTCTATGTTTTGGACTTTGCAGTGATGCATCACCATGCCTGGACATGAGCATCATCACTGGTCCAGAACTGCTTTTGCTGCCATTCCAGGCCCTTAACGCAGTTTTTGAGTCAATTAACAAACAGAGGGAGCTGCAAAATCGTTCATGTCGTTGCTGCCACTGGATGCTCTTCAGAATGAGTTTCTTAAGGATATGATCCTTAAGAAGTGGAGGTTGCCAAGGAAAGCCTTGTAATGCCGTGCTTTATGCAGCCTCAGTGCTGTAAACAGGTTCAAGGTCTCTTCTGATTCAAAAGTGTGTCTGCAGAGCTGATCTTTGCTCCAGGGGAAATCTGACATTAGCTGGCAGCTCTTGCAGGTCACTGGCAGAACTGTGTGGAGAAGTTATTGCTTGTCAGCCTTTTACATGCCCAGGCAATGTTAATATTTTAATTTTTCATAGGTTTTACAATACACTTTTAATTTTTAATACATTTTCTAACAATGTAATTTGCCTGTTCTGTCACTGTGTGTTATAGATATGAAACTGTTGTGTTTTTAGAAAAGTTTTATGTTTTTACTAAGACCTTGTTTGTTTTCCCTTCAAGAACAAAAAAACCCCAACTTATGTTGATTTCTTAAAATGTGTACTTAACTCCAGTTTCCCTGTGTGTAAAACTAGCACAAATTGTTATTCTTTGTATTTCTTGCTTACTAAATGTCATTTACCGTAACTTACAGTGTAAATGAAACTGAACCTTCTTTTGAAGCATCCAGAAGGTATTATTTCTTTTTTTTTTTCAGTGTATCTTAATACACTCATTAATTCCTTCAGAATTTCCCCAAACCTTCATCTTTGTTCTCTTCAGCCATCTCTGTTTTCTTGCCATGTTGGTGATAACTGTTTACTATGGGATTAATTGACAGACTGTTTTAAATCCAGTGGATCCCAATCCTCTCCAGCCATTGTACCACTACCTCAGTCTTGTCTAAAAGATGTCCAGTGATCCCAGGTCCCACCTGAGAGCACTGGGAGTTGAGTGTGCTCCATGTTGTGCAAGGCAGGGCCTCTAGATGGATTGGAGACATCATCACGTGGATCCTCCCGTGTGTTTTGTGTGTTTTGTGGGGTTTGTGCCGTGCCTAACCCAGGCTGTGTGATAGAGCAGGTCACAGAGGGAGCTGAAATCAAGCAGTGCCTCCCCCCCTGGCTCAAGGGAAGGGGCCTGCAGGTTTAAAAGAAGGACAAACAGAACTAAAAACATGTCCTGACTGACAGACAAGTAGTGGCACACGGAGCTGTGGTTGGGAGACACACCAGGATTTGCTGCCCGCTAATCCTGAGGGCATATTTTGTACTAGTGCATCCTGAACTGCTTAAACTCCTCAGAGTTTTGGGATACTACTGATGCCTTCTAACCAGCTGTTTCTCATGCCCCTGCACCCTCTCTGTCATCAGCAAATCCTAGATGTTTGCACACAGAGTTAACCAAATGCTTTGTTGGAAGAAACAGCATCAAAGAGACTGAGAAGGAACTCAATTGTGGCCTTCCAGGACCTGAAGGGAACCTACAGGGAAGATGGAGAGAGACTATTTCCAAGGGCCTGGAGTGACAGGACAAGGGGCAATGGCTTCAAACTGACAGGGGGAAGGTTTAGGTTGGATATTGGGAAGAAATTCTTCCCTGGGAGGGTGGGGAGGCCCTGGCACAGGTTGCCCAGAGAAGCTGTGGCTGCCCCATCCCTGGAAGTGTCCAAGGCCAGGCTGGATGGGGCTTTGAGCAACCTGGGCTAGTGGAAGGTGTCCCTGCCCATGGCAGGGGGTTGGAACAAGATGATCTTTAAAGTCCCTTCCAGCCCAGGCCGCTCTATGATTCCATGTTTCTGTGATAACTGTTCAGATCTGTGAGCTGACACCAGCTCACCCCTCCTTCCTCACACACCTTGGGCATCTCAGAAAAATATCTGCCATTGCACGACCTCTTTTGCTGCTGTGCATTGGCAAAACAACCAGAAGAAAAGAACATGTCATTAGGTATGCAGACATGTTGAAAAGTTGTCTAAAAAATACTTGGGGCAGTGCAGTGATTCCTTTCCAATCTGTATTAAACTGTCCTCTTTTCCAATACTGAAAGTAAAAAATCACCCACTAAGGAAAAACCACTTTATGTGTTTGGCCACCTAAAATAATCTGAAACTTCAAAAAAGCAGCAAGTGAAGTGTACTGATGCCATTTGAACAGTGTCTTTTCACATATCCATTTTGATGTTAGGGGAAAAAAACCCCCAAGTAACTATTCTTATGAGAATATAATAATTTTTACTATTTAATAATTTGCCTTTGGATTGAAATTGCAGTTTCTAGATTGAGGTAGGTACCAGCCATTTATAGGAGAATAGAATGCAACCTGGAGTGTAGATTTTGCCATCAGGGGAGAGAGAGAGTGGGTGCTGTTCTAACAAAAGCATCTCATTTAAAATCCTTCCCTCCATTTTTGTAACAGTTGCTTTGCTTACGTGTTCCCCCGTATTTCTCTGAATGCACATTCATAAAATTAACCTTAAAAAACCCCTGATTCTCAGGCATTTCATGGTGTGGCTGCTTTGCTTTTTTGCTAATGCTCTGAATCTGCCTGCAGTAGGAACAGATACTCCGTGGCTTATGCAGCTCAGAAGCCGTGGCTGCTGAACGCAACCGTGGAGGAGAACATCATCTTTGGCAGCCCTTTCAACAAACAGAGGTAAAACAACTTGGTAACTCCTTTTAGAGAGGTGGTTTTTTTGTTTGATTTTTTTTTTTGAGGTTTTTTTTTGGCATATTCTGTTGTTAGTTGGTAGATTTGGAGAAATATCTATCAATGCCCATTAAGCCCAGGGGGTGAGCTTTGGTAAACCTGATTTTATCCACCTCAGAGGAAGGTTTCTGGTTTAAGTGAGCCTTTCAAGAAGATGTGTGTGAGAAATCACACAGGGCAGTGGCTCTCCTTGGGATACAGAGAAAGCCATATCTGGGATTTCCAAGGTGAGGTGAATCCCACTTTTGGAGGCCACTGACATATTTGTTTTTTTGTTTCATGGAGCCTGAGGTTGCCAGAGGACTCTGGAAATGGGAATTCTAGGCACGTTTCCACTGAGTTTATGTGCTTATCCTGCTGTGATCCAGTTACTGGAGCACTTTTTTTACAAAAACACTGCAAGAGAATAACCTTAATTCTTCCTTTGGAAGCACAGGAGAAGGGGGTGTGACAGATGAGGTGCACAGCTTTTATTGTGCCTATCCAGCTTCTTGTATCCTTCTAAAAGGTCAGTTAAGAAATGGGGGAAAAGTGACTGGACTTCAAGGAAAACAAATTGCTGATGTTTTCATCAGGCAACATCCTCTCTGTTTTAAGTTATTAAAAATACACCACGTTCCTCTCAGCCTGTGCTTTGTTAAGATGGATGAGTCCAGTCTGAGTCGATAAAACTTGACCACAACCAAATACCTCAAAATCCAGAGAAGCACCCAAAGTTTCAGGATCCAGATTCTTTGGCTACTGCATCCATCAGCCTAAATTCACTTGATTCAAAGGGGCAAGGCTGAATTATGCCACTCAAATAGTCTGACCCCCAGCTGCCGATTGGCAGGTCATCTGTGATACCCCACGGACCTAGAAATCTCACAGCAAATTTCAAGGCTTTGCAAGTTGTTTCCTGGTTCTGGCAAGACCAGAATCACTGCAAGGACCCTTTGTCCTGTAACACCACCGTGAAGAAAATGAAGAGGCACCTAAAGGGTGGGGGGAGAATAATAACTCACTGCAAAATGGCTTTAAACCCTCCAGAGTCCAAGAAAACAGCTCCGTGATGGGGGGGAACCTACTCAATAATTTAAGCAATTAAATCTTTAAAAAGCAGTGTTGTCAATAAAGATCTCTAACAAACATGACATTTTTTTTACGATGCTCCAGGATTAGCTGCTGAGTAATCACCTTGCCCTTCTAATTTCTGCAGTTATCCAGCCCTCACAGAGCTGTAATAACTTAGCAGTGGATTTTTCTTTTTTTTCAGCAGAGTAAGTGGCTGGTTAAATAATTGCGGTGCCCATGCTGTTTTTGCAGGTATAAGGCTGTTACAGACGCGTGTTCTCTGCAGCCTGACATCGACTTACTGCCATTTGGTGATCAGACAGAAATTGGAGAACGGGTAAATAACACAAATGCTTTAATCCCTGCTTGGTCTTTCTATTAAGAAGACACTCTCTGGTGTCACCCGGACAAATCTGGGCTGCCAGACGGGTAAATAGTTGTAACTCACCAAGGCTCACTGCAAAAAAAATGTTGAAAACTTTTTTCCTTCTTCAGCTGTCTCTCAAATGGGATTTTTTTGAGGAAAGTCTCCTGTATTTTGCATGCAGAATTGGATGCTTGCATTTGTTACATTTTTCAATCTAAAAAGCCTACTGTGCTCAGAGCAGTTCTTCATAATTTACACTTACCCGTGAATAATAATTTATCTTCTGATATTACATGAGGATTACGCTTGTTTATCAACAGAATTAGCATTTTAACGAAGCTTTTTATATTTTTCTGGAGCTCTGTATAATTGTGAAAAATCACATTTCCGGAGGCCTGTCATTGCTGTTTATTCAAAGATGCCTATTTTTCCTCCATCATTCTCATTAGGGGATTAATTTAAGTGGAGGCCAACGACAGAGAATCTGTGTTGCTCGAGCCCTCTATCAGAACACCAACATTGTCTTCTTGGTAAGATTCTTCTTTTCCACATGAGGCAGGGAAAGTCAGTAATAAAATTGCCATTCCATATATTTATGTTAGATTTAGGAGAGCTACAGGGACTTGTGTTCGACTCCAAATCCAAATTATAGAGGTAGGAAATCAGCAGCCACCAGAGGCAGCATCAAAACAGACTGGGAGACTGATGGGGGTGGGATTTCCTACACAGATTAACCCTGGAAGAGTAGAACAGATTCTTTTAACTCCAAGTTAAGATCAGTTTGGTTTAGAGGAATGAGAAGAGTTGCTAATTCTGTTTTAACTTTCCTGTGCTGGTTTCCCATCAAAGTTATTAATTAAATTAATTAAAAATTAACTGAGTCCACTGCTATGAACTGAAGATCAGTGGATTCCAGCTCCCTGTTTTGTAGTGAAGGCTCTGGCTGGGTCTTAGTCATTAGAGAGAGAGGAAGCATTAGCAATCCTAGACACTTTCTAATTTTAAAATAATATTTTAGAAATAAGCCTTACTCTTGTACCCTATCCTAACATTTTCTAATTTGATTCCCTCTCAGGATGACCCATTCTCTGCACTGGACATTCACTTAAGTGATCATTTAATGCAGGAAGGGATTTTGAAATTTCTGCAGGAAGACAAGAGGACTCTTGTTCTGGTGACACATAAATTACAATATCTGCCACATGCTGACTGGGTAAGAGAAGCAGAACTCACACTTGAAGTTCACACCCTTACACTTGATGGGATTAGTATTTTTCTCTGTAATAGATTCCCTCCTTAATTGCACATGCCATGTGGCCAACTGCCTCCTTAACTAATACAGATTTTAGAGTGAAAGAACTATTTTATTTTCACATTATTTATGTAGATGTTGCAATTGACATTGAGTCAAAGTTAATTTTGGTTTTGATTGCAAACAGGGCTATTACTTATTATGTCTTGTCCGTGCTTTTTACAAAGTGCACCAGGCTTGGCTTAAAGATGTTTCATGTTTCAGTTTATGGGCTGTGCCAACAAAAGTAAGAAGTTACCAAGAAAATGTGCAATAAAATGGGCACAGAAATTTACATAATGGAAATATCACCACTACTGAGACATGTCTTGTAGGATCCAGGTTAGTAATTATGGTATTCATGCTGTTGAGTAAATCTATCAGGTGCTTTCTCCCCTAGATCATAGCAATGAAGGATGGAATGGTGCTTAGAGAAGGGACACTAAAGGATATCCAGAACAAGGATATTGAGCTCTATGAACACTGGAAAACTCTGATGAATCGCCAGGATCAAGAACTGGAAAAGGTAAATAGACATTTAGACAAGGATGGCTTTTCTGGAAAGAAGTATTTTTCATTTAAATTAAAAAAAAAAACAACCCACCCCCAAACTATGTCAGAAGAAGTTTTAAACTAGACAGAACTTGAAGAAGTTTTAAATTAGGGCAGAACTGCATGACCTGTAAGAAGTTTTAAGGACTGGAAGAGGTTTTGCAGGAAGTGTGTGGTACATCCACCTTGGGTGGTTTGTAAGGACCCATTGACCAAACCACCTTTTGGAATGTGGTGAACGGCTCATCCTTTGTGGGGCCATGGTATCTCTTATTCTGTTATTGCCAGGAACATTTAGGATTCTCTCAAGGCTATTTTTGAAGTTTTTATCATTTCAGAAGAGAGGGAATGAAAGAATGGAAGAAAGAGAGAGGGGAGTAGGTGGATAAAGCAGGATTTTCTGAAAGTTAAATCCTAAAATACCGTGGCTTTTCCATTCTGTGAGTAAAGGGATCCCAATGAAGTTCTCTCTGAGGTTACTGTTGGTGCTGCCACAGTGGCAGACAGCTAAGCTCTAACTGAATAAACACATTTCCTTATTTCAGGATATGGAAGCTGACCAGACTACTCTTGAGAGGAAAACCCTCCGAAGGGCCATGTACCCCAGAGAATCCAAATCCCAGCTGGAAGATGAAGATGAGGGTATGTCTTACCATTTCACTTTATTTAATCTATTACCATGTTTCATTCCCTTTCCCTTGAATAGCTGGCAATTCTTAGCTATGAAACATGAAGATGGTGGTGGCACTTGGTAATAACTGGGAAGTCCAACACTTTGAGCTGTTTATGATATGATTTATTTAAGGAATTCTCCATGTATTTGTTGCAGGGATAAGGGTGTCACAGAATAAGTTAATTTCTTTGCTAACTCACACTACCTTGAGTTACTGAGAGATGAGAGAGAAGTAAAACAACAGAAATAATTGTAAAGAGAACAGATTGGGGTAGCTGTCAAGAGCAGGGCAACATTTCCCTTCCTCAAGTGCAGCCTGCAAGGTTGTGAGATCTATATCCTTATTATCAGGAGAAAAAATTAAATGTCTTCTTTATACACCTATGAAATATGTATCTCCCACTAATTGTGTTTCAGTGTAATGCAATCAATTATCCTTTTGTCATAGACAAAGCTTTAGTACTCTTCACTGGAGGGAAAATTGAGCTTTCTTGTGCAACAGATGTTGGAGCCTCTGGATGGAAAGGTTTGGAGGGCTTTCTAGAATCTTCCTTGTGATCCAAATTCTGCTGACTGTAAAATAAAAGCAGCTGAACAGGTTGGGAAAGGCCCGGTCTCTGCTATAAATAGTCAGTTTAACTAAAATTAACAAAGCTGCAACAAGGCAAATACTGATAAACTATAGAATTGCTTAAAGGGCACAGGGAAAGTCTTATGAAAATACGTCTGAAGTGTTTGCTGTTTTTAAATGACAAACCGAATGTTTCCTTTGAAATTAAAATTCAAGGCAAGAAAAAAGTCAACCAAATCTAGAAAAACAAGGTAAAATTCCTAGTGCTGAGTCCCAGCTAAACTTGATTTAATGTCTGAGTCACAGAGGAAGAAGAGGAAGAGGATGAAGATGATAATATGTCAACTGTCATGAGGCTGAGGACAAAGATGCCGTGGAAAACCTGTTGGAGATACCTCACCTCTGGAGGATTTTTCTTGCTCTTTCTGATGATTTTCTCCAAGCTGTTGAAACACTCAGTTATAGTGGCCATAGATTACTGGCTTGCTACGTGGACATCCATGGACAACACAAATGAAGCCAGGAACGCTGATGATGATAAGGTGAGCCATGTCTTGGAGGATAAAAAGAAAGGAAGGAAGGAAGAAAGAAAAAATATTCTAAAGTAACTATTTGCTGTTCATCTAGTTAGATTGGAAAGGTGACAGATGGAGTAAGCTTGGCTATTATATAGGATGGACAGATTTTTCATGTTAAAACAAGGCCATTCAAGTTTTATCCGTCTTTTTGAACATGCAAACATGTTTGAGGGTAGAAAAGCCATTGACCTTTCAAAGGAAGGGACTTCATACTAAACTTCTCCTTCTGGATCTTTTAACTCCTAAGTCAATGACCCCATTTTCCTAAGTACTGGCTGTCGAGTAATGTCCTGCCAGAAAAAGAAATTTTAAAAAAGTCTTCAATTGTGCTACTTGAGTACAATCTGCTTGTAGCTGTAAATCTGACTAATATACAATATTTCACTGGATTCCACTTAGTAAATTTTCAGAAGGCTTGAATGTGTTATAACCCTGGCAGATGAGTCCAAGGTTTGCTCCGGGAATTTTATGATGCTTGAACTTAATAAAGTGGAACTTTCCAATATCTCTCAAATGCCTTAATTCTTGAGAGGTCCTACGTTGGTTGACTGAATTTCTTGGCCAACAATGTGTGATCCTTCGTATTTATCCATTTAGTCCATCTTCACAGTTCTAAGAACTATCATTTCATGATCTTGATGGGTGTTCATCAGTAGGGTGAGGGCTCTTAGAACTACAGTAACTTCTATTTATATGAACTTACTGAATTGCAGTTCATTCATAGTTCTTTATTCCTCAGATATTATATATAATTACAACTATATAATATAAGTGATGTGACACAGTAGCTGATTGGTACCTTGGGAACCTCCCAGCAGAAAGCAGAATTGGGTGTCTATTTCTAGGATTGATGTATTTGTCATTTTATCAGACTTACCATGTAGCTGTCTTCAGCATCCTCTCGGGAGCTGGGATTGTCCTTTGCCTCATCACGTCACTGACTGTGGAGTGGATGGGCCTCACAGCAGCCAAGAACCTACACCACAACCTCCTCAACAAGATCATCCTTGGACCCATCAGGTGCGGCAAAAAATTATATCCCCCCTGGAAAGCTTCCTGACCAAACCCTGCCCTCTTGGTTAACTGGGAGGGCACTCCTGTGAAGAGCTCTTGTGGCTGCCCTGTTTCCTCCAAGGCCTCAAAAAGTCAAAATAACTTAGTGAGGGAATTAAGGGGAAGGGGGGAAATTCCATTGCAGAACCTGTGAAATTCTTCCCCCTTTTTTATCTGGCTGCAATCTGTTGGATAACTGGCAGCCCTTCAAGGCTGGGGGGTCAAGGACAGCTCTGAGGGCAGTTCAAGCTCCAGGACACCCAAACTCCAGCTCTGAGCAGTGACATGGTGACAAGTGGCACCAAGGCTTCTTCTGATGGCTGGGGACAGGTTTTGTGGATGACAACAGAGGCAGCAGGATGGCCAAAAGGTTGCATGAGTATCAAATTGAGTTATCCCAGTGCTTCCACGAAACTTCTGGGGTTGGTGCCCTTTAGCAGGAGCCAGGGACAGGCTGAGATCTTTGGAAGGGATCTTAAGTTTTGAGGGAGCAAGAATGAGAGACCAGGACACAAGACAGCAGGTTTTTGGAAGAGGAGACAAAGTTTTTTCCTGGGGTGGGGGGAAATGCCAAAAGAAGCATTTGGACAGCCAGGATGCAGATTTTATATCTGTTGTGTTGTTCGTATTTACGGCTTGGTTTAATAGAAAGGCTGGAGACAGCTTTCTGTGCTCTGTCTGACTGGGCTTTTTACCCCAAAATGGAATTCCTTTACAGGAAACTTTCTGGTTTTAATTTGTTCAACAGGTTCTTCGATATGACTCCCTTGGGGCTAATCCTAAATCGTTTCTCTGCTGACACAAATATCATCGACCAGGTAGGTGCATCGATATGTTCTGCTTCATGACACCTTGGCTTTGCAAATTTTCACTTAGATACTGAGTAAGAGCAATAAATGTACTAAAAGTATCCATTATTAAATGTATTAAAATATCCAGCAGAGAAAGGCATAGCAAAAACAGGCATTGGGAGTGATAAAAATAGAAAGTAATAAGGGCAGGTAACTATAAAAATAAATGTAGTGAGAGATGGAGACTCTGAATTTCTTCATGTGCAGATTAGATGCTTCTGTTGGAAGATCTGGATTAGCAAAACATCATATTTTGTAACTCAAAACAGGAAAGAGGGTAGAATATAGCAACTTTAACTGTTCAGGAGTAGATATGACAAATAAATGTTCCACCCTGGCTGTAGCACATGTGGATTTAGAGCATTCAGGGGAAGGAAAGGATGTTTTCACCATGGCTGTGCATTAAAATTTTTGGCCGAGCAATAAATCTGAACGTGAGGGTGTTGGGAACGTGGAAAAAAAATTAGGAGGCTCTGAGAAAGATCATTGTATATCTCTGAACACTTAGGATATGAAGAACAATTTTTTTCTTCCTTGCCTGTTACCTAAACGAGGTGGAAATGGCTCCTGTTTCCCCATGAGATCTGAAGCTCTGACTTTTAGGGGAAAAAAACCCCACTGGCTCTTTTTTTTTTTTACCATTTGGCTATTAGACTCACAGAAACATAAAGGCTCCTGATGTAAAGAGAATACCAGTGGCTGCACAGTTGGTATCATTCCACTTTCCGTGTGGTCCTCTATGGGGAAAAAAAGGCTATAATAGTGATTTTCTGCTTTATGTATGTTTTTTATTTCACTGCAGCACATCCCTCCTACGCTGGAGTCTCTTACCAGGTCCACCTTGCTCTGCCTGTCAGCCATTGGAATGATCTCCTATGCCACCCCATGGTTCCTTGTTGCCCTCGTGCCTCTCGGGATAGCCTTTTATTTCATCCAGAAATACTTCAGAGTGGCTTCCAAGTACGTGTTAAAAAACCCAAAACAAAACCCACCAAAACCAGTCCTGAAAATGTCTTCTAAAAAAAACCCACAAAAAACCAACCCAAAAACCTTTACTAAGAATTGTGATGGGATGTGAGGATACAGGAATAAGGGGAAAGCAGCCATGGCATCCTGATTTTCATCCCTAGGCCTGAGTTTGGGACATACACAGGAGGATTTTTCCAGCTGACCTGACTACAAATGGGATATTTAGGGATGCAACACCAGTTGCATCACTTTTGTACACTGCTGGCTATAGAGGGAGAGGAGCATGAAGTCTGTTGATCAACTGACCCAGCTTGCCTCTGGTCAAAGCTCCTCTTTGACCTTCTGAGAGTTAGCAGAGAATGGAAAATAACTCCCTGGATTAACCTCAGTCTCTGTTTTCTTTTTCATATTGGGAGAAAAAACCTCTACAGAAAATCATTTCCACTGTACAGCGTTTCATATCCATATTCTAACCATTTTAATGGTTTGCCTGGGTATAAAAACTACAATTTTTTAGCAAAAGGAGCATCATGATTTCTTAGACTCGTACTAAATTCATTCTGTAAAACATCTTAAGCAAGCCATTTGAATGTTTTGTCTTAAATTGGATTCATTACTCTTCTTCTTTTTGTTATCAGCCAGAATCTGTCTGGATTTACACCCCTTTCTGATACTTAAGATTACTGATCAAAGCACCTGCTGACGTGCTGGGAGGCCAAAACAACCTGCCATTATTAGCAGGTTATTACTATTATTATCTGGCCTTATTTTTGCAGTAGGCACATGCTGCAGCATTAGCTGCTGTTTTGCATCAAGTAAGAAATAGATAAACTAGTGGTTTCTTATCCAGAGAGAGTTGTTTCAGTTATTCCCCTTAAATCCACGGAGCAGGGTGGGCACAGAGCAACATGTTAAGAATTTTGCTTCACTTTACTCTACTTTTCATCGTCCTTCTTCAGAATTTCCAAGATTTATTCTTCAGAAAACTACATAGTCAGTATGAGAATTGCTGCTTTTTTTTTTTTTTTTTTAATTTTTTTTTTCTAAATTAAACTCTTTTAAATCACTGGTGAGGCATTCAGGGTTGACTTGTGTTCTTCTGTTTGCACACCAGACATCAAAAAATCGGTCTTGGGAAATGTAGGAGGAAGGAGCAGCTTCAGCCAGTGTTTATAACTTACTTGCACGCAGTACTTTGCAGGCGTATAAGCTGCACTAATTTTTAGAAATGCAAATATTTACAGTATTTCTTGCAGCACTTTGTTGTATTTTCCATTACATCTTTCAAAAACTGCTGTGTATTTTCCATCAGAAATTCGAAAGATATTTCTCATCAAAACACAAGCAGCGAATTCAGCTCTGGGTGCTGCAACATTCAGCATCATGGAGCACTTGTTTCTCCTGGCCTATCCAATGCAGTGTGCAAACATAGCAGGATTTTGATAAAGACTTTAAATCTCTAATGATCTGGCCTCCCTTCTGTTTATACAACTGGCTGCTGTGCCAATGGCAAGAGTGTTACAGAAAGATGTGTTTTCCTCTGTGGTTTGGAAAACATTCCTGTTTCAGGAGACTGGAACTTTTTGGACTTAAATGTCATTGCTCCAAGCAGGTCTTGGAAGTACCATTGCTGGGTAATTGAGGAAATTTATCATTCAGATTATTTCTCTGTCAATGCTGTCTCTGTTTCCACCAGTGTGGTAACTTAAAACTACAAATAGAAGGTCTGCTATCATCTGTTCTATTTTACATTCAGCATGTTGTGGTAATTACAGATATGGAAAATGCAGCAAGTTTTATATGGAAAGGCACCTTTTTCTTTTGTTAGATCAGCTGGTAGGGTTGCAATAAAATAGATAAACTTACAGACACACAAACCCTGGTTTATACCTGACCTAAGAGTCACCAATAACATGCCACAAAATTTTAAATCAGCTGTTCTGAGTTGAAGCTCATTATATTAACAAATTAGAGTGTGTGAGAATAACAGGTAATTAGGACATGGCTAAAATAGACAGCAGGTTTTTACCCAGGAGAGACATGATAAAGTCATAATCACTGGGGGACAAAGAGAAGCTCATCTGTGACCAAAAGTAGATGGAAGAGGTGACTGGGCAATGATTCAAAGGCTCCTGTGGCAAAAGAGGAATGTGATATTCCCATGCCATTGTCTTTCTATGCGATAGAAAGACAATTTTGTGTGCTCCTGGAAAGAATATGTGCAACACATGAAAGGCCTATCCTTGTTTGCCATGCAGTGAAATTTCCACAGACAGTGATGTTTACATTGTAATGGGTGTCTGTTGTTTTTTATGCTCCCAGGGACCTCCAGGAACTCGATGACAGCACCCAGCTCCCTTTGCTGTGTCACTTCTCTGAGACAGCTGAAGGCCTTACCACCATCAGAGCATTTGGGTCAGTAAAACAAATTATTAGAGGGAGGCTTGGCCATGCCTCTAAAACCTGTTGCATATTTTCACTAACACACTAATCATTTCTGTATTGTTTTTTCCACTGAATTAGAGATGATTACGTATTTCAGATATGATATTTAGACTTTGAAGGAATCTCTTTTAACCCTACCTCACCCGGGCAGCAGGGAGCTCTCTTTTGCCAAGCAGGCACAGGCACTGCTCCTTCAGACCCACTTCCAATATCCTATAACCTGTGTCCCTGAATCAGTTCTGTATTTAACCCACTCCCTGGGCAGGGAAACACCTTTATAGCACTCTCCAACTGAAAGTCAGTGTACACTGACACTTTCCAAGCAAATTACAGCGGAACAGAGCTTGATCTTAATATTGTAAAACCTACCCTTGTCAATCAAAACTCAAAAATAAATTTCAGTAGATTCAGATAATTATTCCAGCTTTCCATACATGCATTTTTTCTCTAGTTGCTTCATGAAATACAGGCCAAATTCTCCTTGTATATTCACTACATTACAGCTAGCACAACTGACCAAGTCCCAGTTTGATGTTGCTCCCCAGTAAGGACAACTTGCACTCATCCTGTACGTTGTAGAACCTCAGACCGGAGCAGATCTCACTGCAGTGCCATTTACACACCTATTTGATCAGCTTAAGACTGTTTCACCACTTCAGGCTAAGCTTTAGGACCGGGGCTATTAGCACAGAGTGTTGCACTAAGGAATGTGGAAGGACAAGCAAAAACATTGCTGTGTTGAAGAGACGTGAGCCAGTGGTCAACAGGAAATGTCTTAACAAGCCTGATCAACCAGAATGACATGGTGAAAGCGTAAATCATCATTAAGGCCTGATGCTGATGTGACTGAGTGCTTCTTGAAAGGTTCAGAGTGGCCTTTCATCACGTTATCTCCTGAGAGAGATGAAGGAGCTTTGCACTTCTCAGGAGCTGAACTCCACCTGACAAAACAGACACTGTGGGCTTGGGTGGCAGAGAGCAAAAGGCAACCTGAGGAGAGGACTGGGCATCACAACCATCACTTGAGTTCTCCAGGAGCTCCATTTCATCTCCCTGCCTGTGCTCCACTGTCAACCAAACCTGAAGTCTACGGCACTTTTTATCGGCAAGCTCGAATTTTCTGCTAGCCCTGTTAGTCATTCTCTGCAGTTCGAGTTCAGTGTGTTCCAGGATAAAACAGAGCAGCTCCCCACATAACTTACCACAGAGTAGTACAGTCGGATCTGAGAGCAATCTCAGTGACCTTTGCCGTTTGTCATCTGACGGGATAAAAGTCTCAAACTGCCCAGAAGATGAACTGAACGTGGATGAAAGCATACAGATCGAGCACGTCAGATTTTCCACTAGGAAAACAGGGGTTTTGCTGCCAGGAAGGCAGATGAGCAGAGTAGTCAGTGCATCTTTGCTCCTCCCCACGTCATTCCCGTTGCCAGTTGTTTTGGGGAGGTTGCTTGCCATGTTTGCAAGCTGTGCAGAGGGAAATAAAACACCGCCAGTGGGAAAGAGCTGAGATAAAAGAAGGGAGTTTCTGGCAGAACAGGGGTTACAGGTGCTCCACAGCAGGACCCTGAGCTTGCCATGATAAAACAGACAATGAGCTGCTGACTGAAGTTCAGCTGCTTTATTCAAGTAAGGGTATGGAGCAGACAGCAGAATATGAAACAACAAAACGGTTTCCATCTGACTGTGCAAGGCACCAAGAATTTAATACTTGCACCAACAGAGATTTCCCCCTCCCTTCCCAAAGTGTACCTCAGATTTTGTGGGCTTGGTTTTTAAATGATTGGGTTTTAAATGATGGGCATTACAAGGGGGAGAGAGAAACAGGTGGCAGTGGAGTAACGCCCCTCATTTTTGTAAAGCAAAGATGACCTCTGGCTCTCCCTCACTGGAGTTTCCCAGTTGTTCAGGCAACCTGTGACTGGCTGAGAAAACAGCTGAGCTGTTTGGCTGAAAGGTATTGATCTGTGGATCAGTCTATATTAGCTGAAACCTTAGAGGTGCCACTCCTGTTGATGAGCCCTGCAGCTGGCCAGGCACCTTTTCAGGCACCATTTTTTTTGTCAGAGCAGCTGGTACAGTTGCAATAAAATAGATAAACTTACAGACACACAAACCTTGTTTTATACCTGACCTAAGAGTCACCAATAACAAATTATGAAATTTAAAATCAACTGGTCTGAATTTAATTATATTAACAAATCAGAATGTGTGAGACTAACTAGGATCTGGCTAGCATGGACAGCAGGTTTGTACCCAGGAGAGACATGATAAAGTCATTATCACTGGGGGACAAAGACAAGCTTAGCTGTGACCAAAAGTAGATGGAGGAGGTGACTGGGAAATGATTCAAAGGCTCCTGTGGCAAAAGAGGAATGTGTTGTTCCCATGCCAGTGTCTTTCAATGCTATAGAAATACTGAAAGGAATATGTGCAGTACATGAAATGTCTATTCTTGTCTGCCATGCAGTGAAATTTCTACAGACAGAGATGTCTGAAATCGGGATTTGAGATGACAGGTCCTGGTGGTGGCTTGTGAGGAAGAAGCAAGGGGCCACAGCAGCACTCACTTGTTAGAGGACTGAAGGGTGGCCACAGCTATAAAAAATAGATCAACTTTGAGAAGCAAACCCCCAACACCCAGAACTGGAGTCTCTTTCAATGGACAGGCTCTGATTCAAAATCTACCCCAATATTTGCTTGTCAGCCAAATCCTCCCCATGACACGGGTAGCTCTGGTTACGTATGGGGAGCTGTGGCAGCAGGGCAGAGATTTTTAACCCGAAATCAGGAGGGCAAAAAGTTTTGGTTTGCGGGGAGAGAGGGGGAGGAAGGGGAAGCCAGAGAAGAGTTAAGGCTTCACCCTTCTGTGTGCACCGTGTTGTAACGTAACAACTTTGCTCTCGGCAGGCACGAAGCCAGGTTCAAACAGCGCATGCTGGAACTGACGGACACGAACAACATTGCCTACTTGTTTCTGTCGGCTGCCAACAGATGGCTGGAGGTCAGGACGGTACGTTCAGTCTCGTCCCAGCCGCGGTTTTGAAACCTTGGAAGCAAACAGAGGCTTCGCCCGACGCGCAGGGGATGATAACGGGGGATTAATCTCGCGATGGGATTGTAACGCACACACAGAGCTCCTTAAAATAGATCTGCTTTGTTGTGTTAAACCCACAGGGGTGTTCTTTTCAGCTTTCTTGGCCAGGAGTAGGAAAATGCAAGTCTTCCCTCCCCTCATCTTTTGGTGCTGTGCTGTCTAGTGTCTGAAGAGAATGCAAGGACAAACATTTACACAACTTGAGGCTTTCTCTGCTACTGTGCAGCATCTGCAGACCTGCTCCAGCAGGAACGACTTTCAAAGAAGGACGTGGATTTTTAGTAGTCTTGTGAACTGTGCCACTGCTCTGCCAGGGCTGTTTTAGGCACCACTCACCTTGCAGGTCCTGAAGTATCTCTCCAGCAGAGGGTTTGACCCCACAGCTGTAAGTTAAACCCCTCCTTGCAGTGCCCTGACTGCAGCTGTCAGGCCATACCCTTTGTGGTTTTACTGTTTGGTATCATGAAAGATGGCAGGACCAGACCCCAACTGGAAAAAAAAAAAAAAAAAAAAAACCAGTAAGGCCCTGAGCAGCCACTGACAGTGAAACAGGCTCCTGGTTTTTGTGGGGGCTCTCCAGGGACAGCACGTGAGGGACTTTCCTGATCTGCAAGGCAAGAAGAGGCAAGCAAAGTAACTGGGATTTCCTTATTCATCTGAAACCCAAAGAGCAGTGAATAAACAGAGCAGTGACCTGGTTCTGCTAGACACAAATAGCAACAGGCATGATTAATCCCCACATCAAAGGCTGGATACTCACCTTTTTTTCCTGGTATGACCTCAGAGCAACAAAGTTATTCTCCATTTCTTAGGATGGCAAAGCTTTCCCTCGTGCACGAAGCTTTCAGCTCCTTACAGCATCCAAGACCAAGCTGAACTTGCTTCCAAATCTAAGACAGATAAATAACAGAGCAACAGAGATAAATAACAGAGCAACAGCCAATCCTGGAACGAGCTGTGGCGATGCCTGTTAATGTCTCACAGTTTTAGACTTGCTTACATGTGGAATGAACCTGATCCAAGAATATGCCTCGCTTCATCATAGCGATAGGAATAATGTGGCCTTGCCAAGGAGTGGTTCATTTAGCTCTCCCTAATGGCACAGTGTACCAAGATCACCAAAAATTTGGGTATTAAGTCCTGTCCCAGCTGCTGCTGGAGACTCAAGACCACTGTGGTTCTAATTCCCTGCAGATGTCAATCATAGAATCCCAGAATCACATGGTTTGGGTTGAAGAGGACCTTAAAAATCATCTCATTCCAACCCCCCTGCCATGGGCAGGAACACCTGCCACTATCCTGGTTTGTTCAGAGCCCCATCCAACCTGGCCTTGGACACTTCCAGGGATGGGGTAGCCACAGCTTCTCTGTGCAACCTGTGCCAGGGCATTCCCACCCTCACAGGGAAGAATTTCTTCCAAATATCCAATCTAAACCTGCTCTCTGTCAGTTTAAATCCATCCCCTGCTTAAGTTTGAGTCTGTCATCTGCTCATCAACACAATTTACAGACAGAAGAACCAGGCAACCCTCATTTCCAGTCTCAGAAGGAAAGATTCCAGGTAGTACATTATCAGACTGGAGGAGAAAAATGGATGGAAAATGTAATCCAAAGTAAATATAGTGCAGGTAGCAGTGGGAGAGAGGCAATACCACGTGTCTCATTAATCAGGCACCTTGATTCCATGAGATCACATGTGGCAGTCACTTCAAAACTGAGGTGCACGTCAAGAAAATAGGTTCCAGCTCCTGCAAAGCTTCTGCCAATAAAACATGCTCATGACCTGTATGAGTTCTACCAAAAGCCTTCCTGGACTTTGTGAAGCCAGCGAGGTTTCTCTTTTTTGAGCAGGCAAACCCATGTTTCCAGAAGACCCAGAAGAGTTGTTTTAGTGGTAGGAATTAGAGGTGTCATTATTATATCATTCTTAGGATTTTTTGTGTGCTTATTTGATTTTTTTGATACCTGCTCTATGTGGGGCTCCCACAGTGAGATACCAAATGGATTTGCTGAAATTACTGGCCTGTTTCACTTGTATTCAGCAAGTTGCTTTAGAGTGTTTCAGACTGGGCACCACAACCTGTGACCTTCTCCAGGAAGAACAAACCAATAATTAAGTAGCAGGTGTCATTATATAAATAATTCTCAGTTGAGTTAAACTGCTCCTCAGCTAAAGAAATGTCCTTGTTGCTGCCTTTTAATGTTGCCTAGAATGTTTTTCTCCCTGTCTCTCTCATTCCAGGATTACCTTGGTGCCTGTATTGTCCTGACTGCAGCTGTCACCTCCATCACTGAAGGGCCCAACTCGGGATTTGTGGGGCTGGGTCTCCTGTATGCTCTGACAGTACGTACCAAGGCAGAGCTTAAGAACTTTCAGACCAAACAAGTATTAATTTTATAATATTTTTATATATACAAGGTTGTCTTCCAGCTTTCTTAATCTTGAAAAAAAAAAAAAAATCCACAACAATCCGGCAAATAATGGATTCGAGCCAAAGCTGAGAGACTTCAGGGCAGCTTGGACTTGCTTCAGGTTTTATGAGCCAATTAAAAAAACACGGCCATTCCCAGGCCCTGCGTGCTCCCAAGCAGAGCAGGAAAATTAAAAATGCGTAAGAGGACCTGCTGTGCACTCTGGTTTGTGTAACACAGTGTTGGTTGTGCCTGTACACGGCAAAAAACCTGCCAGGAAGTACTATTTCACGGATTGTCATCATCCTTTAACAATCTTTAACCAGAGACCAAATCAAATAATTGCTGAAGAAACAGAAACACCAGTTTTACCTTTGGAGGGAGACCACTCATATGCCTGATATTGCCCATGCAATTCTGGATGGATTTGGGGCCTGGGACCTTTGTAGGCATGGTTCATGCCAGGTAGCAGTAGGAAAGCAGAGGAGGTGGGGCTGGGAATGATGAGATTTTGGTGGTCCAGTAGCTGACTCATTTTGCCACAGTCATGAGCAGTGAGCTGTTTTAGCTGTGGAGAAGGAGCAGAGTTTTAATATCCCTGGCTGTGAGAGAGACTGAGAGAGCATCATGAGCATGGAGTGAATTCCAGTCACCACAGAGAGTAGAAATATTCCTGAATTAACCACGAGAGTGGGGACAAAAGTAGGATGATGACAGTGGTAGGAAGAACTTCTGAAACCATGGTAAAAACCTGGGTGCTTTAAAACACTGATATGAGGGAGGGATGTGGGTGTGGGTCTAACACAGAGATCTGGCTTTGCACCTAAATGCTGCCAAGCCCGTGGTTACAACAAAGTTCTCTGCAGCTGCCTTGGGGTGGCCTTAGATCCCCTTCACGCTGTCAGTGCAGCAGTGTGAGAACCTGCCAGCAGCTGAGAATCAGACCCAGGGCTTCAACTACGCTCTGAAAACATGCCTGGTAGTCCTGCCTCATTAGCAGAGCTCTGGGAGCGCCAGGATGTCTGCACCATCCTTGGTACCTTGTTTCTAGCCCGTGTTTGCAAACAGATGGTCGGTGTGAAGCAGGCACCTGCTGAAGTCTGGCGTAGCAGGGGAAGGAGTGCTGTGGTCACCAAGTGATCACCTGTCCCCCTCTCCTGCCCCACAATAACACTGGTGACATCTGGAAGGCAGTTTGGTCATTACCTGTGTCCCCTGGCACAGGGTTTGTGTTATTTCTCTTTGGGGGTAAGAGAGGGCTGATGACTGGACCTGAAGGAGAGCAGAATGTACCGAGGCTGTGTTTACAGCAGACATCCATGGCCTGTTCTTTCCTCTTCTGTAAACACTGCCAACCCCCTTGTACAACTGTGAGGCAATGGTTGAAGTGGTGGGTAGAGCTTTTTGGATGCCAGGCTCTGTTTTCAGATCTGCCAGTTCTGCAGAGTGCTTTGCTTATCTGCAAACTTACCCATTTCTGCAACCTCCTGGCTCAAAAGCTGGGCACCAAATGAGGAGTTTCTGAACAAAGAATAATCCCCCCTCCCAGAACTCTATCTTAATGATCACAAAGTCTTTACTTACTTACTAAGTCCTCTAAATAAACAACAGGTTCTGCTGAATCTTTATATTTGCTGAAATAAATAAAACTATTTACTGTTTGCCTATTGCATCAGTATTAGGTTAGTGAGAAAGAAGCAGGGCTGGGGAATTTATTCATGATAAAGTCCTTCTTTGTCAGATTCAATGATCTTCCACAAAAAAAAATTTACAAAGCCTTTCTCTGAGTTATGTTTGTGCATAGGATGTTTTCACTGTGTAAAGTTTCTAAACCTTTAGCAGGTATATAAAATATCTCCATTTTTAAAGGTTCTTAGCAATACTTTCTAATAAGATCAATTTTTCTTTCTTATATATGCACCTAAATAAAGACTTACGAATGTTTAGGAAATAGCTCTAAAGTTTTCAGCCTTAAATATTCAGTCCTGACTAGAAATCAGTTTGTTTAATCTACTGGGTATTGTTAGACAACTAATTATCAACTGTTACCTACTGGAAGCAATACCTTTACTATTGATCAAATCCTTTTCATTACAAATGAGAATAAAACCCAGGAAGGAACTACTGCTGAACTGATAACACATTTTTTCCTCATATATTTCTGTGCTAAAAATTTCTTGTGTTTTTCCTTGAGAGAAATGGATTATCTAAATGTATACAGGCAGATACAGGAATGAAATAACCATCAAATATTTTCAATAGATTTGCAAATATCAAACTTTCTTTACCCTTAGTTACAGTCTTTGAAAGATTAGAAAATGTGATATTTCCTAACAGCGCTTCCAATTTTGATTCTTTTCTGTATTTCTCCTTCAACAAACAAGGCTGAGAACACCAAGCACTGAGCTGATGTGTCAGGGCTGTTTGTGATGGAGCATGACTGGCTTGTTATGGGTCTTGAAGTGGTGGAATGTCACTGAGTGAGGCCAAGGGCTTTCCCCTTGGTAGATAAAGGCGTATCCAACCTTTATTTGCAAACAGGTAGATGAACAGACAGAAGGCTGTTCAGAGCCCTGACCTTGTTTTCATTTTGTGATGCAGATAACCAACTACCTGAACTGGGTGGTGAGGAACCTGGCTGATCTGGAGGTGCAGATGGGTGCAGTAAAGAAAGTACACAGCTTCCTGAACATGGAGTCGGAGAACTATGAAGGCTGCTTGGGTACTGCACTCTAATCTTTTTGGGGGTTTATGTGGTAATGGGAAAGAATGGTAGACTTGATCATGCAAAATGCACACACCGCTTTGTCCAAAATCAGTTCTCACTGATGTGGAGGAACTGCCACTGATGTGAGTGACCAGGAAAGCCAAAAGCATCTATGGGATGTGTAGCCCATGCTAGTCAACATGAAAAGAAATCCCTATGTCATGCCAGGGAGACAGAGGAAGGCCCTGTGTTACCATCAGAAAATACCAGTTGTAGGTATTTTCATATGGGAAAATGGTATTTTGTATGGTTCATATGGGATGAACAAAACATCCGTGTCGCTATTTAAGAGACAAAAGTAGAGATAATGCACCATCAGTCACATGCTTCAAAATCTCTGACCTTTGCAGCAAATGGGGACTACAGGACAGGGTCACATTGTCAGACCTTGTCAGCTGAGGCCTGATCTGCACACACTTCAAATTGCCTCTGGTGGGTATTTTAGAAGCGGTTGAAGGGCAAGACCGAGAAGGCTGGCAGGCCAACAAGCTTCCCTGGAAAGCCAAGCTCCTCAGAGTGGAGACAAAACCTGCTGGCTGTTTGCAAATCAGGATGAAATACGAGCTGTGATAATGTCAACAGCCTGTGCTGTGCAGCAGTAACAACATCCCTGCCACGCTGCCCTTCCTGTGCCGGTTACTGACCGCGGAACGCGCTGACCCCGCGCTGGACTCTGCGTTCCCTGCGCCTTTACCTTCCCCCCATTTCACTGCCAAGAGACGCTTCAGCATCTGCCCTCTCTCCTCGTGTGTTGAGAGCTGGAAGCCAAGTGCTAATGCACCCGCCTGGCAGTTCCCAGCTCAGCTCCCCCGCCTTGGCAGGGAAGTGGGGCTCCATTTCCTGAGATGCCCAGGAAGGAGAGAGGGGGAAAGGGGACTGTCCTAAAGGGTGACCCTCTGACAGCATTCATGTCAGTTTGTTTTTCTGTAACTATTTCAGATCCCTCTCAAGTCCCCAAAGACTGGCCCCAGGAGGGGGAAATCAAGATTGAAAATTTGTGTGTTCGGTACGAAAACAACCTGAAGCCTGTTCTCAAGCACGTTAAGGCGTACATCAAACCGGGACAAAAGGTATCAAGCAGCTGCCCATCTTCCTCATCTTGGATCAGATCCCTCCTTACTGTGTTTTCTTTTCTAAGGTGGCAGAAGAGCAAGAACAACAACAGCTTGCAGTGGCACATATATACACTGACAATCCTCTCTGAGGTTCCCTGAGCATGGGTCAAAAACTTACCCTGATAAGAGCTGGTTCTTGGATGGGATCAGCTTTCCTTAGCAGGATCCCATTTCTTTCCAAGTCCATCTCCCTCTCATAGAGGGAGCCTGGGTGGAAGATGAGATTAGACCCGAAACACCAGACTGGAACTGAGTAAAAATGCAATATCTCATATTCCAGTAAAGTGTCATCGGAGTCCAGGTCAAAATGCAGAAGTTTCAGAAATGTTCCTGGGACAAGTCCTTATGATGTAGAGAGGCAGAAAAAGGAAGTGTGCCTTGCCATGCTGCTCTGTTTTTCCCTTGGTGTCTGCCCCTGCCCATTGGGAAGGACCTTTCTACTCACCGTCAGCACAGCCCAGTCCAGCTTTCCCAGGAGAACTGCAGGTCTGATTTGCAGCTTCCCCCTGACCTTGCTGTCTTTTGCAGGTTGGGATCTGCGGTCGGACTGGCAGTGGCAAGTCCTCCCTGTCTCTGGCATTCTTCAGGATGGTGGACATCTTTGATGGTTAGTTTTCACTTGGGGATGTTGTCACTCCTAACCTGCTCCCCCTCTTATTTCTTCAGAATGAGCGAGGAGACTTTTTGGTAGTTTATATCCTGGCCCTCCGGCTTAGAAGATACTTGTTTAGAATGGGGTTTTTTATGCCTGATCCTTCAAAATACCGAGTGTCCTACTGTGAGTAACACTTGGCTCTTGCAGGAAATCTTGCACACAGACTACACTCCTAAGTTTTTAAAATTATTTTTGTGGGTGCTCTGACAACTTTGAGACAGGATGAAATAATACGTAACTCTCTGGAGTGTCTAAATTTCTCCCTAAAGAATAACTGCATTAACTTATTATAGCTGTCAAAATATTAGCAGAGTAGAAACTAGAACTCAACAAGTCATTCCCTAAATATTTACTTTTTATTTTATTGTGGTTTCCCACAACTGCAGCACAAACTGACTAAAAGTTTGGAAACATTTGGCTGCTTTCACTCTCCCAGACAATTGGCATGGACTGGTATGCAGCAATACCCACTCTGGCATTTATAATGCAGATACATCTGTGTTGCTGCAGCATTACAGAAACCCACTGGAAAGTCATCTTTTTGTTTCAGAGATTTCCATGTTTCTAATTTAGCCACTGTGGATGGAATGTTTTCTAGGAAACCCCAGTAGGATGTGGGAGATAAGTGAATCTGATGCAGATAACTCTTGCTTTTGTGTGGTTCCTTGCCTATATGTATCTATGGTAAATAGGCTTCTGATTCATGACCAGGGCTCCTGGTTACATCAATATTGCAAACAATTAATGGCTATGTTTATTGCCAACTTGAAGTTTCCTTCTACTTGTGTTTTCTTTGTATTTTCATTGTCTGCTTCCCTGATTTTTCCCAATGAGAATGTCTAAGTCTTTTTCAAATCAAGCTCTGTTTATCCTTTGTGCACATCCCTCTCTCAGCTAGACCAATATTTGGCCTCTGTGCTGGTCCACTTCTGGGTGGGGTCCTGACTCTAATAAAAGTTACATAACAAGATTTCGAGTAACTTTACTAGAGCCAAGATTTCATTCATGTTGTTCCCTAGGTCTTTGTTATCTCTTCAAATCCGTGTGTGTTCCATTTTATTTCCCTACTCTTGCTTCTTGCTTTGTGCTTTAGTGTTTTCCTTCTCTTACCCTCTGTTCAAACTACCTCTCATTTCTGTCTTGCAGATCACTACTTTCCCAGTTTTCCAGCTCCTCTAGAATTTACTTTTTTTCCCTTAGGTCTTCTCATCTCCTCTTTTCTTTTCCTTGAGCACCTTGGCTTCTACCAAACATGCATTTCCTTAGGACAGGGCCACACAGATCAACCTACAAAATGCAGTACCGTGACAATCTGGGAATGACAGAAGAGACACACGTGCACAGCCCTGAATATCCATTTATCTGCCAGGTTTTCCACGTGGAAACTGCAGAAATGCCTGATGAAAATACCCCTTACCATGTCCTCATGCAGTTTGCCCTGGCCCATCCCTTCCCCACAACCTGGAGGAAGTTTCCATGTCCAAGGGAAGTCAGTGGGGTCAGTCATCCCTGGATTTTTTAGAGTACTCAAGGGAAGAGAGAGATTCCTTCTGCCCTTCTCACCACCTTCCATTTACAGAACAGCCAACCAGTTTATCTCGTACATTTTTCCCACCTCCCTCGCCTGAATATCACCAGTTGTCACACCCAGAATGCCATAAATCAGATTTTCAGATGAGATCTGCGTGCTCACTGACCTGAAGCAGTGACTAGGAAAGGAAAAAATCCTCTTTCTTTACCAATTATCCCAGCTGTTGCCACAACTTCTTGTTGGGGAATGAACTACTGGGAGAAGGAGTGATTAATGTGACTGCTTCCAGTAACCTTATGGCAGCAGAGCAGTATGTAGGCTAGTTTGCACCAAATACTCAAATGGAACTGAGCTGTAGGAATGAGCATGAGTGGAGCAGGACATCCTTTTTGTTTTTGTTTTTTGTTTTTTTTTTTCTGATCTGCATCTTGATAAAACATCAATGCCACCCCGTTCCTTCTAAAGTTTGAAGGATAGTTTGGCCTCCTGATGTATGGATTGCAGATGCATCCATGTATTGTGCACAAGCAATTGAGAGGTCCCAGAGGCAGAGCCCAGCCCGAAGGAGCTGATTTCCCTCATGTCTTCTGCGTGTTGTTTCAAACAGGGAGGATAGTGATCGACGGAATAGACATCAGCAAACTGCCTCTTCACACTCTCCGCTCCCGACTCTCCATCATTCTCCAGGATCCAATCCTGTTCAGTGGCTCCATCCGGTAGGTGCACGTCATCATGGAGGGGGGACAGGCAGCATTGCGTGGCCTGTTTGGAAGAGGAAGGTATGGAAAAGGGAAGTAACCTGCCTAGTTCAGCCCAAACTATCCACAGAGTCTGCCCAGGGCGAGTCAAGTGGCACATATACAATGGCAAGGTGTTAATTTGCAGAAGAGTTGAGTGTAATTGCAGTTATGAGGCTCCTGTTGTGGTTTTCTTTGCAGCTTTAACTTGGATCCAGAATGCAAGTGCACTGATGACAGACTCTGGGAAGCTTTGGAGATTGCTCAGCTCAAGAACATGGTCAAGTCATTGCCTGGAGGCCTTGGTATGTCCGAAAAGTCTCTGGGAACACAGGACAATAATAAAATCATGCATGCACATATAAACAGATATGTGTGATCTGACACTCTGAACCATCATGCAGGAGTTGACAGGCACACAGTGAAGATTCTCTGTCCATACTAGAGAGAATATTCTTACTGAAAAGCTGCAGAGTGATCTGGTTTTCCATGCACTGTGGAAAAATTCTGCAGTACCTCAGCATGGTGGTGTGATTCTTGGGGCTGTCCTGTGCAGGGCCAGAAGCTGGACTTTAATGATCCTTGTGGGCCCTCTCCAACTCAGAAAATTCTATGATTCTATGATTGTATGATCATAGTGGGATAATTAGTCAGTAAGGACTAAAAAGAGCAATTTTACCTCCTCTCCTTTAGCAGAATCTGGTTCTGCCAGCAGAGCTGTAGCTCATCTAGAACACTGACAAGAGTATTTTTCTTACCATTTCAGATCCAATTCATGAAGGAAACTCACATATTTATTTCCATATTAAGCATATTTCGTACTACTAAGATATTACCCTGCAGCCTACCAAATTTCCTAACAAATTTGGGCCAACTATTGGAGCCAACTGTTTAATGATATATTGCTCCTTTCCCAAGAAGCCGTGCTCACTTTTCTTGGCATCCCTCCATTCCACTGTTCAGTCAAGATTAGGGTTATTAGCTTTTGTATTTTGTCCCTGGAAATAGCGCACAAGCAGAGCTGTCACAGACAGCATTCCAGTGGCTGTGACATTCCAAGTAACCGCTTTTATTCCAGATGCCATGGTCACAGAAGGAGGAGAGAACTTCAGTGTGGGGCAAAGGCAGCTCTTCTGTCTGGCCCGGGCCTTTGTCCGCAAGAGCAGCATTCTGATCATGGATGAAGCCACAGCATCCATCGACATGGCCACAGTGAGTACACTCAGCAACCAGCACCACGGATCTGCCAGGAGAAGAGGCACCCAAGTTGTCAGCCATGAGATCTCCCCAGCATAAAAAGCTGCCTGGTTTTGCTCCTCTCCTGTGCTTGGTCTCGGCCATTGATGTTGATGTGGTTTGGGGATTGTGGTGAGGGGGGAAAAAACGATAAAATCAAATGCTTTAGAAAATCCCTGATTTCACGTTTCATTACGTTTCATTGCTACCTCCAGTCTGGTGAGCGGATCAGAGACAGTGTGGAATATGATGATCTCTCTTAGGTGCTTGAGGACACATGAATTAAAATGTAAAAGGATGATGTAACTGAAATAAGCTTTTCCTCTGACAGGAGAACATCTTGCAGAAGGTTGTGATGACTGCGTTTGCAGACCGCACGGTTGTAACGATAGCGGTGAGTGCTGATGCCAGAAAATGCTCTTTCCTCATTCCTCAGGCAGTTCATCTTGCCTTTCACCCATTAAACATCACTACACAAAACTAAAGACATCCCAACAGAGAAGGAAACCACAAGATCAGGGTATTCCCAGATACCAGAACAAGTCAAGACTGGATCAACCTGAAATCTTTCGGTAAATGCTATCTTGCTGTCAAACTAAAACACTTAGATCTCAACACTTAGAACTTCACTATCTTCACTGTCTCCAGGAAAATGTGAAGTCAATCTCACTAAAAAGATTGAAACCAGATGCATGGGTTAAACTGTTACGGAAAGTTGCATCAAAATCTAGGTTTGAATTTTGCCTCTGAAGTCTACGGGTGTTTAGTGCCTACAATCACAACCCAGATTTATGACCTGAGATTTCAAAACCTCTCTGGTGTGGTTTCTCAAGCTGGGTTATCTTTTCTCTCCTTCAGGACAAAAAGATGTGTTTATGATAAAGGTTTACAAAAATTGAATCAATGGGAATTGCCCAAAATTTAAGATCTCTTCAACTAAGTGTTTATATTATTTTTCCTGTTTTCCTGCCTTTTCATGTGCCCAAAAATTCCATAAATCTGCACATGAATGTCCAGCCATATACATGCACACACATGGTGGATATCATGAAGAATATTTCCACCTTGTGACAGCAGGCTTAGTCAACAAACAGATGTTTTCTCCACGGGATAAGTGCATGTTTCAACAGCTGTTTCATTTGCTTTGTCTGGAATCCAGTCCTGTGGTCAGAGATTAGAGTCAGGCCTTCTGGACTCTGGTTTCCAGCCTGTCAGTGACTAGTTTGTGTCGGGCAAACCACTTAACCCAGCTCATTTACAATGTGCTGTGAGGTTCCTGGATGTGTGAATGCTGAAGATGCCACTGGTGTGCATGTTCCCCTGCATTTACACACCATTCCAATTTTCAGTACTGTCCTCCTGACTGGGATTGTAGAATAATAGAATGGCCTGGGTTGGAAAGGACTTTAAAGATCATCTTGTTCCAACCCCGCTGCCATGGGCAGGGACACCTTCCACTATTCCAGGTTGCTCAGAGCCCCATCCAACCTGGTCTTGGACATTTCCAGGGATGGGGCATCAACAGCTTCTCTGGGCGACCTGGACTAGAACATTCCAGACCCTCATCACCCTCACAGGGAAGAATTTCCTCCAAATATCCAATCTAAACCTCCCCTCTTTCAGTTTGAAGCCATTCCCCCTTGTCCTGTCCCTCCATGCTCCTGTAAATAGTCTCTCTCAGTCTGTCTCCCTTCAGGTGCTCTCGCTTTCCTTTTGCTTTGCCTTTCCAAATTTGGTGTCTCAAGCTGAACAGCACACATTGATATTTAGCTTTCCTGACAGAATTGGCTTCGTTTCCTCCCTCTCTTCGCTCTTGGCTGATCCTTCCTTCACCCACCCGTTTCTCTTTTCTGTTTTCCAGCATCGCGTGTCTCACATCTTGGACGCCAATCTTGTCCTAGTCCTTTCTGAGGGCTCTCTAGTTGAATGTGACACTGCCTCAAACTTACTCCTCAAAGAGGACGGCCTGTTCACCACTTTGGTGAAGACTCACAAGTAGACTCTCTCAGTCCACACTGTTCACGAGACTTCTGGCTCTTTGGTAGTTATTTTTACCTCTTCAGTTCCCTTCCACTCTGCTGCCTTTCTGCTGCACAGCTCCTGAGGCCACAGTGCAAGGAGGTGTTTATTGTGTGGTTCCTGGGTTTGTTTAATTCCATGACTGTTTATGCTAAACACAGGTAACTAAGCTTAGACATCGAAACTGTCACATCAAAGGAGTCCAACCCCTAAAGTGATCTCTGATTTTCAGCCTGTAAAGAGAAATATCCTACTTTTAAGAATTCTTCCCATCTATACCTGAGTGGGTGTATTCATATGAAATTGAACTCAAACTGGTTTCATTCCTGTTGCCCATGGGGTTAAACTATTGCCTGGAGCACATTCAAATTAGATCTCAAATAATTCGTTTATAGAAGGGGACAGTCCAGAGGGAGAGTAGACTGGTGGGGTACAGAGACCACGGAGCAGAGCAGGATGCTAAGCCACCTAACAGTGCAGGCATATCCAGGATGTTTCTCGTCCATATTTCCTTAGGGGAAGATGTATTTCAGGGAGATTTATTCCAACAGCTGTGCTGTCTATAATGGCAATTGGCACTCAAAGGTAGAGTGCATGCTTAAGTATTTTCAGGCTTGGTGGCCCAGGCTGTAATCTGGACCTTAGATTAAAGACAAAGTACGAGGACCTAGTCCAAATACAAAGGATAAACAAAGATAGCCTTTCCCCAGCTTACCGTGCCTGGTTAATGACTTGCAGTGGGAATTATCAAAATGAAAACCTGTGTTTGTTTTCCTTTCGGGCAGCATCGGGTTCACACCATCCTCACTGCAGACCTGGTCATCGTTATGAAGAGAGGGAACATCTTGGAATATGACACACCTGAGAACCTCCTTTCCCAGGAAGATGGCATCTTTGCTTCCTTTGTCCGGGCTGACATGTGAAGAAATCACATGATGCAATTTAATAGCTTATTTTTAAACGAATGAAATGAGAATATTTTCTACTCAATGTAACATCACTTTTACCTTTTTTTTTGTCCTTTTTTTTTCAGAGATTCTTTCTTCACACTTCGGTCTTCCAAAATAATAAAATCTATTGCAATACATGTATGCCTTGAAGCAATAAAAATGTCACTTTCTTCAAAGCTTTCAAACTTCACACGCACACACACGCACACGCACACACAGAGGGAGGAGTTTTAGCTTCCTGGGAATTTGGCATTCTCCTTAGACTTTTTATTGACTTTATTGTCTTTTATAGAGAGCAAAAGAATGCACTGATCTTATAAAGTACATATGTTAGGTTGGAACTGGCGATTGAATCGTGCACTTTGTCAAGGAAGCGAGAGGTTCCCCAGAAGCTTTCTGTCCCCAGAGGGGAAAAACCGGGAAAAAAATCCAACCCCAGAAGGCCTGGGGCAATCTGCTGCATTCCAAAGGCGTAAACTTTGCTCTCCAACTCGTAGTGCAGGAGCAGTGAATGAGGGAAAGGAATTTCATCGGGAACAGGGAAATTCTTCCTGTCCTTCACTCCAGTTAGCACACTCGAGTGGCGACAGCATTTCAGTGCAATGATGGCTTATTCCTACAGCCAGTTCTTCCTAAATCCGTATTAATTCTGGCAGTTTTCATCGACCAGAGATTCAAATCACCCTAAAACTATGCATGCTTTGATAGGCTTGTAGAGGACTTTTGTACAGTGTCTCAAGATTTTGTATTAAAATTCATCTGAATTTATAAACTTGGTTTTAGCCAATCTTTTAATCGTGTCCAATAAGATATTCTGCTTTATTAGCCAACCACTGATTGTTTTGTATGTCTTTAGTCCTTCACATTATTTTTTTTTAATCATGGGATAACCTTTTCCTTTACCCATTTCTGGCACATCTCTGCATCAGATCTAGTACAAGGAGGTATGACTTTCAATTTATTACCATACCTTGAAAATTTAGGTGAAGTTAGATAGGTATTTACCTCATATAGTTTTGGAAAGGTCGCCTGCACTTGACTAATGCACATGGTTAAACCTTGACCTGTGTCAACTCCACAGAAACCTCCAGAAGGAGTTTCACACACATATTTTTCCAAGGCACAGTTGAGACATCAGCTTCTGTAACAATATTCAATGTGATTCGTATTCACCAATTGCTGCAAGATTTAGGAAGACCACCAGATGCACTTAAGCCTATTTTTAGTGCAATTAAAATAACATAAGACACAGTATTTGGCCCAAAGAAAATGCAATGAATTTTGGGGAAGTTGTAGGACTTAAAATGGGATTACACTTAGTCTGGTAGCGCAATAATTGTACAGTGTTTTATCTCTTTTACTGATTTTTGGAGGGTTTTTTTCCCCTCTAACTGTTGGAAATAAAAGCTGTGGGACACAACTAAACAAAGAAGCTCAGTCTTGAACAATTTATGAGGGGAAGTACTTCTGTGATTTCCCTGTCTACCGCTGTGAAAAGTTTTTCTTCTTTCCTGATTAATTCCCTGTGTTGACCTTTGTCATACAAATAAAATAAACTAAATAAACAAGCAGATGTTTGCAGCAGAAGCACATATTGTTACCCAAATTTCACAACCAGAAGACTAAAATAATTCTTGATTTAATTTCACTGCCTTCAGTGAAAAGCTAACTGGATCCATAGCTGTCAGACTCAGCCAGTGTGAAATACAAAAAACTTTGTTTATCTGCGTATCTTTGGTGATGATGCAATCCTGGTTTATTTTAAGTAATGCCAACTAACTCAGTGAGATCCCAGTTCCCACTGCATTAAATACTTACCATGGGCCTGGGATTGTGTGAGGTGTCTTGTGGTATTTAAGAGGGGCCAATAATTAGCACCTCTTTGGCCTTACATTTGTCCCAGAGCCATTGCAGGTGTAAGAAGCAACTTCCTTGCTCATCCGGAGCTGTAGAAGTTGATGCTGCTGTTTAAACACATCGAAAACATATTATGGGATGAGAAAAACCTACCAGCCTGATTCCTTCATTCTGGGGGAGGAGAGCAGGAATACTGGCCCTGCTGTCAGGTTAACCATGGTCAAAGTGTTTGGTGAGCAGGTTTAAAAGCACAGCCTGATTTCTAAAGCAGTTAATTCTATTCAGAATACACAAACCCAAACAGAGATAGCAAACATAAACCACCTGCTGTAGACACAGGGGACCTCCTCCAGTTATAGCTGCTGTGCACATGATGGTATACACTCACCAAGGGCTAGGCTGAACATTTTAATTTGTTTTTCTCTAACAGAAGAGAATGTTGCCAATATTATCACAGTTGTTTTGTTCCTAAGAAGGGTGCAGAAGGGAAATTTGAAACAAATTTCTTTTGATTTCACAAAGAAGTCTGAAGTGGGTCCCGTTTGAGAGCAGTTTCCTTGGGCTGTGGCACGTACATGGTAAAGGAAACATTCGCCTTATATTCTTCCACAGCATCCTCACTTTTTTTCTTCACCATCTCCCTATGTCACACCCTCTTTGAGGCTCCTGCTTGTATCCCTGAATGCTCCTTATTCTGCCTGTGCCCTCCCACTCCTTCCTGATTTAGCCTCATACCCTCTGCCCCATTTCTCCTCTCACACAGCACTGCACTCCCTCTCCCTTCCCCATCTTCAGCTTTCTGTCATAACACCCCTCCCCTTCAGGGGAACACTCAAGTGTCATGTTCTGAGGTTGGTTTGTTCCTCTAAGCGTTAAACTAAGCAAGTTTTCATCACTGAGATATTTTGCACTTCCTCCTCTTGCAAAGGAGCTCTGAATACAAACACTGACCATGTGTACATTTCTTTAACTATGGACAGAGGAAAATCATCTCTGTGAGAGATGCTTAATTTTGTTTCTCACCTCATCTCCATTTCTTTTTCTGTTAACTGTTTCTGTGACAGAAGCAGCAAAGTAGAAGGATCACTGAATCATAGAGTCACTGAATGATTTGGGTTGGAAGGGACCTTAAAGCTCATCTCATTCCAAACCCCTGCCATGGGCAGGGACACCTTCCACTAGCCCAGGTTGCTCCAAGCTCCATCCAGCCTGGCCTTGGACACTTCCAGGGATGGGGCAGCCACAGCTTCTCTGGGCAACCTGTGCCAGGGCCTACCCACCCTCACAGGGAAGAATATGACCCAAAGAATTTGCCATCTCATTATGTATAAAACCTCAGCAAATAGTAATTGTATAGAATTACGCTTTCTTAAAGTACAGGTATAATTTTGAATGTGGTCAAGTTGGTCTCTTACAATTTCTTAAAGAATAAATTGTTCTATTTAATTAATTTAATTAATTGTGTCCTTTTTGCTTCCTAAAGCAATGGGCTGTCGTGCTTTGTTGTGAAAAGATGCCAATACATGCACAGACCACTTTGCTAATGTATCATGAGAAGCTGAAGGAAACCTCACACATACGATTTACACAAGCTTTTTTTAGGTATTTTATCACAAAGGGAGATATAATGCACTTAAGGCAAACAGATGCCTCTGTAAACAAAGCTGTGGACAGGGGCCATCTCTCCATTATCATATTTCCATTATCTGGTGGCAAAAGTTGGAGCATGTTTCCCTGGGAAGCACCATAACCCAGTGTGATACTGCCAATCGAAATCTGTTTGGAAATATCTTGAGAAGCCACAGTGCTACTGGTAAAAATCCCTCTGGAGCAATGATTCTCCCATTAAATGTGTTTAAAAGCAAAAGTTAACTCATCGTATCTGTATCCTCAAGTAGTATTTTTGAAAGCCTTATTTAAACTCAAAATGCGTTACGTAAACTCTCTGATATAAATTCCAGGGTGGCATGGGAAGAGCTCCTTGGTTTCTTTGGAAATAAATCCTTTCAGAGGCAAAACTAAGGGAGCACTAAGAAAAGTCCGAAAACAAAACCGTAAATCAAATTATTCATTGCCACGCAAACATCCCAATCACTTCCACACTGGCTTTTTGCTGCCTTGTTTTCTCTCCACTGGAATCGACCTGTGTGCAGGACTGTGGGGAGAGATTAACAGGTTTTCAGATTATCAAAAAAATTGTTGGAAGGAAGGAGTTCTCTCTAACAAACCAGCAGCTTGTTGATGCTGTTTTGGCAGGACAGCTGAGAGTATTGGGCTGTGTGAAGCCGTGGAGTTCAGAGAAGCTTCCAAATGTAATCCTTCAAGAGAAGAGATTTATAGAAATTCTATTTACTACAGTTACTATTAATTATTCACTGTTAAGAGTATTTGTCTGCTGTTACACACTACCCATGCAAACATAACAGACATTCCTGGTAGGGGCTGTTTATTTCTCTAATATAATAAGCCTCATTCTTAAGAGATTATAAACAAGAAGTCATTTAAATATTTTATTCTTTTTAAATTAGCTTCTCTTGGGTGTAATTGTCATCCATCACACGCAAGATGCCTTCTTTCATTTTCATGGAACATGGAGATTTTCATGCTGTGAAGTCCTATATAACAATGCAGCATTCAGCTCACACGTTGCACATTTCACTGCCCAGTGCATTCATTGCCATGTATGTATATTAGTCTGGTTTATATATAAATACATGACATGGTTATACAACTTTTGGATTAAAGGTATAAGTAAGTAATGAACAGTGTCAGCTAGGACTGCCCATCAAGAGTTCCTCGTAGCTGTTCCCATGACATTTCTTAACTCTCCCTTTAATTTACTTCAGGGTTTTCTGGCTGGGTCCATAAATATCACTAAAACGTCCAGTAAAATATTTAACCATGTAACTAAGGAACTAATGCAGCTTAGTGTAAATGACATGGTCCAGAACCACCACCCTTCAGGATCACAGTTACAGATGCCCCAAAACAGCATATTCTTTCATATTAAATGGTTATGTGTGTTTTTATTCTGCTGGTCAGATCAGACCCTTACACCTTCAGCAGTGTGACCATTGGAATTCTCCATCAGAGGCAGGAACCTGAGGTTCTAGAGGCTCTGAGTACTGCAGATTTTCGTGGCTGAATCATTTGGGTTTGGGGCCCTCCACTTCTCCAGGTCTCGCCACAGCATCTGAGATTTGAGGGCTCTGAGTTGCCAGATACTCTGTGACATGATCTTAAAATAAAACATGGCACCTCTCTTCCATCAATGGCATAATCTTGGTTTAACCCTCACCCTGCAGCCAGCAGAGATAGTCACTTAGGGGAAAGGGGTCCTGGAAACACAAAAAATGATGGAAAGACAAAGAAATTCCGTTTCACAAACCGGAAGAAAAATAAAAATCTCTTTCAGGTGGTGGCATGGCTCTCTGAGCCAGTTCTGGGCTTCCCAAAAGAGGAGATAAAAATCTATGAATCTCATCCTAGGCTGAAGCCAGATACAAGCTTTATGGTTGCTGCTGCACCAGAGGAATAAGCCCAGTTTGGATAAGGAGGTGGAATGAAAAGCCCTGCCCTCAACACCTGGCTTTGTTCCTCCAGATACCGCCAGAAGAGAAGGAGAAATGGCAGCTCTAATTTATCCCAGCAGCAGGAGTTATCCCTCTCTTATTTTCTGGCTTTTTGCTTCAGGGAGCAGCTTTACCTGTTCCTTGACCCAACGTTTAGGCTCTACCCACACAGCCAAATAAAATGGGAAAAGTGAAACTGCCCATCTGTGGGAGCATCCCTGTGTCTAAACCCACAACTATCCCAAAATAAGGTTTGCCTTGTCCACCCTGCACATTTACAACAGTCTCTGGACTGTGCTTGGGGCATCCCACGCCCAAACCACACCTGGGCACTGGGTGGGAGGGAAGTGCTGCCCAACACAAGCCCAAACCCTGCCGTGGAAGGATCACAGAATTATTTAGGTTGGAAAACATCTCCAAAGTCATCAAGTCCAACTTTTGACTGAACACCAGCTTGTCAGCTGAGTGCCACATCCAGTCAGTTCTTGAATCCAGGGATGGGGACTCCACCACCTCCCTGGGCAGCCCCTTCCAGGGCTTGGCCACCCTTTCAGTGAAGAAATTCTTCCTGAAAGACTTGGACAAACGACTTTGCAGGGGAAGATGTTTTTAAAAAAATCAGGCATTGGACATTTTGGGATACCGTTTAGTGAGGAAGTCCCTGCTCCACGGGACTTAAAATCCAAACTTGAGATGAGACTGAACAGCAGGAAGAGGGCAATGACACCAAGGAACATACAGAGCTGTGCCTGGTCACTGAGGAGCAGATTAGCAGATCTTGCTCTTGGACTCTCCAGAGTTTGGGAACAGCTCTCAGACATTCAGAGAGCTCTGCTGTTTTGAGTATAGTTGGGTTTTTGAGTGTGGTTTTTGAGGCAGCCCTATGGGGGGAAAAAAATGGAGAAATGCAACAGAAAGACACTAAGGAGTCCAAACCCAAAGTGGGGCTCCTCTTCCCAGAGCCTCAGAATAAACTCCTGCCCCAGGAAAGGACATGTAAGAAACATGCAACTTATATAGGATGAGGGGCACTAGTTGCATATATTTTGATGATAAAGACTATTTTTGTCCCGCTGCTCTTGCATGAAACAAGGAAAAGAAAAAAAAAAAAACAGAGCTCGTTCAGGGTAACAGATGCCCTTAGTTTGCAGTTTCTGCTCTTTCATGTTTGATGGATGTCCTGCCAGCTCATCTGGGGAAGAGTTCATCCACGCAGTCCGAATATGGCTTATCAGCTTTGTGTGTCTGTGGAAGCCTCTTTCTAAGTGCATGACATCTCTGGAAGCCTGCAAAGTCATCCTATCTCTAAGCTAAGATTAGAATTTCAAACAAAACTTATTACGAAGCAGGATTTTCTGAAAGGGCTGCCCACAAGTATAATGTGGAAATTTCAGATTCACGTCTAAGCACGTTATTTAATCCTCTTCTTAGATAGACATAATTGTAAGGTGATATTTACCGTATTATCAGTAACTCTTGTGGGTGGAGGGGAATGAAATAGCAAGCAGGAGATGCATGGAGGGCCATAACAAAACTGGACCCAAACTTGCCATCAATTCTGATCATGTTTTTTCCTGAAAAGGCTGTGCTCACAGCACTCAGACACTGTGTTCCCAACCAAACGGGTTAGGAGACATTTTAGGAGATTTTCCCAGCTCTTACTTAAATCTCAGACTTAATTGTGCATGTGGCAACCAAGCAAGTATTTAAAAGGTCAAAGGGGA